TTTTTTTTTTCTGTTGGAAGATCATCAAAATAGAGGATGGATCAACAAAGATACTTTGGAATACTGTCAGAAAATATCTCTGGGTCAGCTCCTGTTATTGACCATGTTACCTGTTGTGCATGATTAAAATTCAGTGTTGACTAACAGTGCTATTATAAGCATTATTTATTATTGCATCAAAATTGGCAAAATGACCTATTTTGCATCATTATTTTCTGTTTTTTGTCTGTACATTTGACAGCTTTGCTGCCTTGTCCTCTCTTCTACTTCAAACTTCAGTTTAGAATACTCCCTCTCCTTCCCTCTCTTCTACTTCATATTTCAGTTTAAAGTACTCCCTCTCCTTCTTACCCTCTTTCCCTCTCCTTCTTACCCTCTTTTCTACTTCATACTTCAGTTTAGGGTAATCTCCCCCCCTTCCTACTTTCTCTTCTATTTTATACTTCAGTTTAGGGTACTTCCCCTTTTCCGACCCTCTCTTCTACATAATATAAGTGACAGGGACAGTCATATTTTTATATTCAAAACAAAGCAGATAGGTGCTGCCTTTGAATTAAGCATAAATATGATTTACTTATGGTTGATAAAAATGTATGTACTGCATGTTAATAACAGTGCTATAGATAATTTTGTCATTGCTATTTATTACCATTCATATATTTTGAATGGTGAAATCATGAGAAGTTAACAGCCTCTACTCATGAAATAATCTGTTTGTTTCCATGTTGCAGGTGGCATCAGGTGAGAGCATCCCTATGTGCCAGGAAGACATCAAGTTAAAGGGACATGCATTTGAAGCTCGTGTGTATGCGGAGGACCCAGAGAACGGGTTTATTCCTGGGGCTGGCCCCCTGCAGCACCTGTCCACCCCTGACCCAGACACACACACCAGGATAGAGACTGGAGTAAGACAAGGTCTGCACTTCATTCCCCACTTAAACACATAAGTTTCAGTATTTGATAGGTTTACTCAGTCTGCCTTACTGATCCATGTCAATATATCTGCCTGCCTGTCAGTCTGTCTGTCTGTCTTTCTGTCTGTCTGTCTGTCTGTGTGCTCATGATGGAAGGTGGGAGGGAGTGAATTGATATTCGATATATGAACTGGCAGTTTGTTATTATAATATTTTGTTATCAGATTTTTTCCTTCTGTCAAGTGCCACTTTGAATGAAAGGGAACTAATGCAGATAACTTTATATAATGCAGTGTAAATGAATGGTGTTTCTGTCCCCAGGGGATGAAGTGTCCGTGCATTATGACCCCATGATAGCCAAGTTAGTGGTGTGGGCTGAAGACAGAGCTGCAGCTTTGCAGAGGACACTTGCAGCTTTGAAACAGTATAATGTAAGTTGTAGGCCAGTTTAATGATCTTATACTATACTCAGTCTCTTGACCTTGAAATACTATGCTGATCTTTGGATCTTTTTTCAAAGATGATAATTTTAAAATAATTTGATCCTTAGTAGGTTGATATTCATTCTGTTCACAAGTAAAAAAGTTATTAGTTTCATGAAATGGGATTTTTGTCTATATTTCAAATGTGACAATATCATGAATGTTATAAAAGTAGCAATAATGTTTACTTATTATTTGTAGATCTGTACAGCTTTCAACCACCAAAAGCTGACAGCATAACCTGGTTATGTTACAGTTGTGCAGATGCTTTCTCCTTGTCATAGTCTGGTAGTTTTTCTGTGTCTTTTAACCCCATAGGATCCGGTTAATGCTGACCCTTAAAGTTCTGCTGTGCCCAGTTAATTCTGTGACCTAGTCTTGAAAATCTGGGTCACCTCAGTAAATTGGCCATAATTTATTTGTTTGCCTTTATTACCCATACAAAGTATACATTTTAAAAAAGCCAATATTTCAAGCTAAATGAAAATAGAATCACATTTAAATTCAACATGCAGTATCAAGAGTTATGGCCGGTTAAAAACCACATTTTTATTTGGTAATGGGTGAAATAAAACAAAGTTGATTTATCTTATGCACATTAATTTTTTATTTCTCCATACATTTGCCTGAAAATTCACAGAAATGATGTCAAATATAGTAACTTTCAATCTAGGAAATTCAGCAAGTTACCTCCAATAGTTTTCAAGTTATGCTCGTTTTGCTATCAGGTATACTTGAGCCAGCTTTTCAGCTCACCTGAAAATCGTGGCCAGAGCTGAATAGAAGTCAAATTTCAACACCGTCTATGACAAAAACATCTATTAAACTTATATCATAAATAAAGGAATATCATCGCCACTGTCTATATCACTGTCACTCGAAAACACCTTATCAGTGTCGTAGTTTTTAATCATTTCAATAACAGTATCTATTTGCAGGCCCCTTCCGTAGTGAGGAGTCGCCATTTTGATTTTACTTTCTCCAGCTAAGTCTAGAAAATTGCCGATTTCTCGACCATATATATTTCTATCGTCCTTTATATCATAAATAAAGGAATAACATCATCACTGTCTATGTCACTGTCACACGAAAACTTCTCATCAAAGTCCAAGTTTTCAATCATTTCAATAACAGTATTCATTCGCAGGTCCCTACCGTAGCGAGGAGCCGCCATCTTGATTTTACTTTCTCCAAGTTACACCCCATTGCCATAGATTTTTAGATCGATCTATCTCACTAGATTACTGTCAGCTTGGCCGGCTTAAGCGTCTGTCCCGCCTACTTAAAGCTGTAAGGGGGTAATTAACTATAGTGTCCGCTCGGCTGACTGCAATTTAGCCTGAACCCCCAGGGAGTTAGGTCGATCTAAAACTTAATCTTTAGATCGATCTAAATCTCTGGGAAAGCACCCTACGTCTAAAAAATCACCGTTTTCTCGCTCATATATATTTCTATCATCTTTAAAAATGGTGGCAATGAGAGACAAGAAACATGCCCGGATGTTAAACTATATATCATTTCATGACTCACGATACAAAAGAATACAATTGCCGATCTTTCCAAGATACACACATATGCGGTTCTGGGCTTTTGGGGTAAGCAATAATTGAACCGCACATATGCGGTGACGGGCTCTATGGGGTTAAAGATAACACGATAAGTTGAAAATAGTTTTACCTTTTGTCTTCAAACTGATGAATATTCATAAATACAGGTTGAGTTTGTAAGTCGGCTTGATTGGATCATTTTTCAAAAATCATGCTTTTTTTAAGCACATATTATACTATATCCAGTACAGATAACACATTAAAGGAAAACTGATTGTCTTCAAACTTACAGAAGTGATCAGTATATTACTAAAGTTAAAAAACCAGCTTGATCAAACTCACAAGTCTCTCTGTCCTGCCTTCATGATTTCATCTTCCTCAGTTTTGAGTTCAACCACAGTAAATATGCCTTTTGTCGAACATCTTTGAGGGGAGAAATTCCCCAAATCTCAGCAACCATGAAACTGCCTTGCGCAGCTTGTAAAAGCTAGAAAAATAGTTCCAGAGCATTTCTAAACGAGACTTACTCTCTTCGTCACATCTACAACATTTGGGACATGGCGTGAAATGACCTCAACATCACTCAAACATTCCAGAAAATCATCTCCTCTTTTGGCCATTCCCTTTTGATTTTTGACCAAAATCTTTTTCTAATAAACCAATTCTGAGAGTTCATTTGATTGACATCTGCGAGACAAAAAAAAAAAAAAAAAAAAACATCAGCCAGATTTAACTTGCCTTTGAACATACTTTCAATGACATACATTGGTGAGTCCTCTTATGAAAGAAACCTGATTTGAAGTCAGTGTTTTGAATGCTTCACATCATTTAAAATGTATGCAATTGCAATTTTTCGGTCAGTTCAAAATGTAGTTGTTGAAAGCTCAACACAGCTTTCTTTTCTAACCATAATATCACCTTCCACTGCAGTGACACAAGCAGTTAACTCTAATACCCCTGTCACACCATAGGCAGAATGAACAAGAATGCCATCGGAAAGACAATTCTTTGTGCATTCCTGGATATTCAAAGAGCATTCTAAAAATTCTGAGTGCATTTCAAATAGTTTTACCCGTTCTTGTGGTCCGCCTGAATGTTAAAAACTTTCGAAGTGCATTCCAAGTGGAAAATTATTGAATGGCATTTGAATACTACACTATGACTGCATTTTAAATATTCTCACGGCATTCTGGCAACATTCGAAACATTCTGATCACATTAGAGGGATATTTGAACTGACACATTACTTAAGGCCCCCGTCACACTTATTCAGAACCCTGCAGGAATCGAGCAGAACCAGCCAGAATGAATTAATTGAAAAATTCGTGCCATAATCGGGAGGGAATTTCAAATTGCAGTCAGAATATTCCGAATGAAATTCAAATGCTGCACGAGTGTGGTTTGACTGCTGGCCGAATACAGGCTGAAGTATGTAAGAAGGTGCCTCGAATGATATATGAAACGAACTCAAATGCAGTCAACTGCTCCCAATGATGGTTTGAAATATAAAGAATTCAAACATAATGCAGCTGAAATACTGAAAATACTTAATTAAAATTACTTTCTAACATGTTTAGAATGTAACACATTGCCCAGAGTGTATAAATAACTCCACTGGAATGGTAACTGATCATAATGTTTCGAATGCTGTCGGAATGCCGTGAGAATATTTAGAATGCAGTCATAGTGCAGTTAGAATACTGTTCAAATGCCATTCAATAATTTTCCACATGGAATGCACTTGGAAAGTTTTTGACATGACAAAAACATTCGAGCCGGCCACAAGAATGGATAAAAATATTTGGAATGCACACGAAATTTTTAGAATGCTCTTCGAATAACCTGGAGTGCACAAAGAATTGTATTTTCGATGCCATTCTTAATCATTCCGCCTCTAGTGTGATGGGGGTATAAAATCCCGCCAGAATGTTTCGAATGTGCCTCAGATGAGGTGAAATATTAATTTTGCCAGCAATCAAACTACACTAGTACGCCATTCAAAGTATATTCTGAATATTCTTACTGCCTTCTGACAGCATTATAGATATTCCTAGTTTTCCAACTACATTTGAACTGCATTTAAGAGTTAAAACAGCTGAAAGTGCACACATCATTTCAGGCGAATTCAAGCGCATTCTGAGTATTCCAATGGTACTCTTACAATAATTAAGGTCAAATAAAATTTTTTTCCCAAATGTGGTGCGAATTTTTAAAATTCTTCATTCAGCCTCATTCTTCTTGATTCCTGCTGATTCCAATTAAGTGTGATGGGGGTATAAATGAGGAATGGTGACACTACTCAAGGGTGCTAACTGTCCTCAAGTAAAAAGCTGGGTCACAAATATTTCACAGCGAGGACTGACAGCACGGAAATAAGGGCATTCTTCATAAGCCACACTACTAGCATCACAAAATATGTACAATTCAGACACATCGTCACACATCCTCTCAGGAATCGACACTTGGGAATTGAATGTTTCTGACATTTTTGAAAGAGTTAACCCTTGCCACCCATTTATTCTCAATCACCCTAGGAACAGGCTCACCCCAACTTAATTTCAGATGCATTGAATCTTGGAAAACATTTCCCTTGAATGCTCACAGGTGACAGCAGGCCCAGTGAGTCATATATACAAGCAACCATGCTGAACATAATACCTCATGACTTTGTTACTGCCTTTGAAGGCAAACTCAAAGTAAAAAGTGTCACTTCTCACATTCCACCTGATACCCATTGTTTTCATATATACATTTGGTATGAGTTCTCTCACTTCTTTTGTTCCATCATGCTCAGTCACAGCACAATAAAGATCCTCATCATTGAATACAAATTTGGTAAGATTAAAACACCAAATGCTCCAGCTTCTTATGTGCTTCGAATGATTTCAAAAGTTTCATATTTGGTCTTAACAGACGCAAGCAAATCATCAATAAAGAAAGACTGATTCCAGACAGTTTACTTCAAAGCAAAATAACTCATTCTACCCCACCTGATTCTGGACAGTTCACCTCAGAGCAAAATAACTCATTCTACCCCACCATTTCCCTCTGAACAAATGTACCTCATGTGATAATGAGCCAAACTATTCCCTTGTTGCCAAAAAAAAAAAAAAAAAAAAAAAAAAAAAAAAATCTTTCTCAGTACCCTTGCCTGATAACTCATACACTCTATGTCTCCCATAAGAGGGTATTTGTATCTTTGAAATTGCAAAAGTATCAGTATCAGTGCATTTATGAAATCTAGACCTTGCATAGTTGGATTGTTCAAACTCACAACCTGCACTGTACATGCACAATCATACACTATTCTGATTTTACCTGGTTTATCAGGATGGATAACATGTATATGAGGAGTTTACCACTCACTTCCGTCATTCAAATCAATTTCTTGGGAAGATACCTTTTTTGCATGGTCATCAAAAATTAGCTTTGAAATACTGTCTTTGCATCGGTCATACCGGCCCTCATTCACGAGTCTTCTTTCTAAATTTTGCAATCTTTTAAGTGCCACATGTGGATTGTTGGGAAGTTTTGGGCAGTTATCTTTTAATGGGATTGGAAGCACATAATGAGTGTCTTTCATGGAAACACTGTTTTCCCATAAACTAAGCACCCTTTTGTCTTTGTGAAACAATTTTGTTCCCAAATCAAACTCATCATCCCAATATTTGCCCCAATTAACATGCAGTTTTTAATTGCTTTTTTGGCAGACCCAGTTGTAAACTGCATTAACCTTCAAATTCCATCTAAAGGTCTATCCATTTTGAATTGACCATTTCATCAAAGACTGTCTTAAAATAGTGAAAATTTTGGGTTTTTCCTTCAAACTTATCAATGGAGCAATGAGGGGTGTTAAAAGAAGTTAGCAAACTAATGTTTCTGATTTATTTGACTTTTGGTAAAAAGGATTTAAGAAAGTCATACCAAGCTTGATGCCTTTGATTAGTTTCTCTTTACTTCTTGAAAATAATCTTCATTTCTAACCATCTCTTCCTCTTCCCCACCTAGATGATTGTGGTACTCTTCATGAGCAGTCTCAAATGAAGAAAATGTATCTTTCAATTGGTCCACCTTGCTTGCTACCATTTGCAAGTCCACTGCAACGACTGCCCTCTCAATGGCACCCGTGGCATTTTGTCACAGCACCCTTAAATGCCGGATGTAGTTTTGGTAGTCTGTCAATTTTCCAGCATTTTCTCTCCTGGGTCAGTCATGGTCTGATCAGTTTATCCATAACTGATGTGTCAGTGAAACAGCGTATACCCCTGCCTTGGGGGAACAAGATTACACATGTAGAGTTCTCTGATGTATCCCAGTATTTGGATGGCAATAGTTTTCCTCTAGAGAGCCTTTCAAATATACCCAAGCCATGGGGTGTTTTAGTTTTTCACTATAGAGGAACACCAGTAAAAATGATAAAGAATCATCGTTGGATATTTTAAAAATGCTGTTTGTTCATGCAGTGTCCTAAACTGTTGCTGGTTACTGAGCTGATTTGAAATGAACTGATCTCAGCCAAACTGTGCTGAACTGCAGAAAAACTAAAACAATATCCATACTCTCATTCCACTGCCAACTGGCTGCCCAGAGACGGTCATGGCCATCTTAGCTGTTACTTCACTCTGCCAGTAAGTAGTAAATAACAAGCATAAGAACATTGTGGAAATTAAGATGAAAATAATAACTTAGAAATAATTTCTGCCAGGTTGTCAACAGCAAATTTTAAGAATGATTCTTAAGATTGACAAACAGATTAAATTGGAAAACCAGTTTAATTGGATTTTTTCTTTAATTAATGGAATTTTTTCATACTAGTATTTTTTCATACTAGTTGCATATTCCTAACATCTATGTTACCTGTTGACCGTGCATAATTGAGATTTGGTGTTAATTTTGCTCTGATAAGCATAGTGTAAGGTTGCATCAAAATTGTCAAAGAATCTATTTTTGGAGAGCCACCACAAATGCTATGAAAGGAGAACTATGTTACTCATTATTTTGAAACTTACAGGAATGATTCTTAGGATTGACATACAGCTCAAATGGAAAAACCAGCTTGTTTGGATTTTTTGTTGAATTGAAGCAATTTTTTGTGAAATGCTCATTTTTCTCATTCTGGCACATTTCAACTTGTGGATTTGTACTCTCAAGAGCCTGAGGCCTTATGCTTGATACATACTTCTAACTTCCCTGTAAACTGTTGACTGTGCTTGATCAAATTTTGATGTTAACTTTGCTGTTAATATATTGTTGCATCAAAATTGACAGGATAACCTATTTGTGCATATTATTTTCTGCTTTTTGGTGGTATATTTGACAACTTTGCTGCCTTGTTTGTCTCTTCAGGTGGTAGGTTTGAGCACCAATTTGCGATTTCTGTCAGATCTGGCTAGTCACCCCGAGTTCCAGGCAGGAAATGTGCACACAGGCTTCATCCAGCAGCATTATGACCAACTCTTCCACCAGGTGGAACTGTCAGACTCCGCACTGTGCCAGGCGGGACTTGCTCTTGTTTTGACTGAAGGAGAGCAGATGGTAATGGCAGGTCTCCAGTCTACAGGTATTTGAAAATTCAGGGGTGGAAACTCTTTATCAATTGCAATAAAATAGGCTATTAATTTTTATGGACAAACACTTCACCTGCATCTGTCGACATCACTGTCTCTGTGCACTTCCAGAAATAATACAAGTGGAAAACCATTAGACTTGTCTTCTTCAAAGTAAGAGAATTGATGAATATTCAAAAAATAAATGTGGAGTTTAAAAACCAGCCTGATTGGACCATTTTTACCAAAAGTTTTGCTTTTTTTTGCTTCGTTTTTTAAGCATATGTCATATTATACCCAATGCAATAAAGATGACACATTTCAAGGAAAACCAATGGGCATTTTGTCTTCAAACTTACTGAAATGTTCAACAGTACTGAAATACAGGCCAAGTAGGAAAACCAGCCTGATCAGTTAATTTTCTTGCAGTTACGCATTTTGTGAAATGTTTATTATTCACATCATGGTATTCTCGTTGTGTGTTTTTGAACTTCCATGGACCTTAAGGCCTTTGGTAGTCACATTTTCTGAGTATCCATGACACTTACCTTATACTGTTAAAAATTGTTGGTGATTATGCTGTTAATCATTATGTAATATTGCATCAGAATTAACAAAAAAAGACTATTTTGTGGACTGCCATTTCAAATGCTATGAAAGCTGTTTTAACTTAAAAGCATTGTGTGTAATTTTGTGCATCATTATTTTCTGCTTTTTGTAAGTATTCTGCAAACAGCTGGCAGAACAAGCTACATGTAGGATACAACCAAAACCTCTTTAAATCTCTGGGTTTTCAGGGTTTATTTTTTTATTCCAGAACTGTTTTCACCATTTACGTTCTGCCAAGGTCTCAGGTTGAATGACAGTCTTTGCAGAACAATTACTCTAAAAGACGGGGACCAGAGTGAGTGCCACATATGGACCACTTAATGGCTGATTACATAGATGGCTTTACAATTAATTATATAATTGTCACATGAGATAATTTATGTAGATACCATTTATTAGATTTTTACAGTTGAAAATTGCTTTCCTGTACGATATCTAGCTGTTGACTGAAGAATAATTACTCTATTCTTATAACAAAAAACAGCTGATGAAATTTTTCTCTGCTTCACCCTGGCTTAAAGTACAATCTATTTTTGTTACCTTGGCTGCATTTTTTTTTTGTCTCCAGACATTGAGTTGAAGCTGACATACAATCCTGATGGCACATACACATCAGCCGTGAGGGATAGAGAGTATCTGGTCACTGGTCACTTAGAGACACAAGGCAACAAAACTGTCCTTAAGTCATGTATTGGTGGGATCCATCAAAAAGCCAATGTGGTCATACAGGGAGATTCAATTCACGTGTTTACAATGGTGAGTCTTCATTTGACTGTCTTTCATAGACGGTGTAAGTAGAGCTCATGGTAAAACAGTTACCAATCATTTCATACCACCTGACCCCCACTACCGTGGTAGGTGATGGAGATACCCGTTTTATAAGACCAATTTTTTTATTCAAAAGCTGGAGAATTAAAAACAAAACTCTGTGTTGTTTTTCAGGAAGGCAGTCACTCTCTGAGCCTCCCTGTTCCCAAGTACCTGCAGCCTACCAAGGGGGGGAGCAGTGTGGGGGATGCGGTGGCCCCCATGCCTGGAGTGATAGACAAGGTGCTGGTGACAGAGGGGGAGCTGGTGGAGGAGGGACAGCCATTGATGGTGATGATAGCTATGAAAATGGAGGTAAGTACCAGGAAAATAAGTTAACGCAATGACACTTTTTGATGACATATACTGACATCACTAACTTCTATTTAGGAGCACTGTAGTCAAGGGAACTGAGTATCTTTTACAAAGGCGTTCTTGAAAACTTAAATGAATAGTGAGCTTGGACTGGTACTGATATGGTTGCTAGGGTTGAAAACTTTCCACATATATTAGTATAATAAATTATCGGTGGAAAATAGCTGTAAGTTTCTTTTGTTCATATATGTATACAGATAACACGTTTCAAGTTCTACAACTACAATGAAACTGGTAAGATTCTGTCTTGATACAGCAGTGTGAAATGGTTGTTACCTCTGCCAAGGAGGTTATGTTTTCACCCCTGTCTGTCTGTCTGTTTGTTTGTCATCAACATAACTCAAAAATTTATGGACCGATTTTGATAAAATTTTCAGGGTAGGTGGGAAATGGGTTAACTAAGAAGTGATTAGTTTTTGGTGGTGATCCGGATCAAGTATCAATCAATAATCAATAATAATAAAAAATCACTGCCTTGGCAGAGGTCTGTGCTCTCGGAGTGCTTTTCTAGTTTTTAGTATATGATGCTAGTAAGATGCTGTCTTGATAAAGCAGTGTAAAATTATTCTTTTCAGTATATCATACTAGCAAGATGTTTTCTTGATAAAACAGTGTAAAATGTTTGTTTTCAGTATGTCATCAGGTCCCATCGCCAGGGCACAGTGGAGAAGATCCCGTACAAAGAGGGCAGCACTGTCAACAAGGGAGCTCTGCTGGTACATCTCCAGGAGGAAACACCAGAGGGAGGCACTGGAGTAGACAGCACTGACGTGTTATAGAAATTATGCACCAGAGGGTGACATTGGAGTGGACAGCACTGACATATAGTAGATATAATACACCAGGGGGTGACACTGAAGTGGACAGCACTGACATGTACTCGATAAAATATTGTTTCTGTCACTTACATACTCTGCCTTACATAAGTACTAGGAGCAGGCAATTCTCTTGCAGAAATGGAGTTCTTGGTTCTATGGGTGTAAGCTCTCTGATGGTATTTAATACTCAGTGTGGTCATTTGGAAGACATTAGTGGTGGTATATTTCAGATTTACAGTCCAACAGTCTCTAGCACAGGTGTCAAACATCTTCACATGTGTGGAAAGCGAACTTTTTGGAAATGATCTGTGGAGTTGTCATGACGTTTTGTTCTTGTATTTGTCTCCCAGTCATTTAGTTAATGAATGTTGTATTGTTGTGATGGGAGAGGAGTCAATAAAAAATTTAAATCTTATGAACAGATTTTTTTACATAATATATATATATGCAACTTTATTTTCTTCAACATGTCTACATTTTGCGATCATGTTTTTGAAAGACTTAAAACAAAAAATGTGATTCCCAAACCTTAAGATAACTAAATGACAAATTCTACTCAAGACTGTTATTTTACCAGTGTGTCCAGGTCATGCCAGGATAACACAGCAAAATTATCCATTTCAACAAAGCAGAATAAAACAATGAGACAAAACAAAATTGGAAAAACAAAGAAGTTAATAGATTTAAAAATGAAATAAAATCTTGCTTTTCTTGTAACAAAAACTTAACAATTTAACATATTCAAAATATGAAATAAAAGCTCTCTTCTATTTTCAAAAATGAAGTTAAAATAACGCCTCTCCCCAGAGGCGTAAGAGAAGTGTCCACTTCAACACCTGACATCAGGTGACAGTTCAATGTGTTTACAGGCCGTATACACACTATTATCCTGTATTAAGTGGCAAATTATTCACTTTGTACAGTGCGAAATACAACAAACAAAACCTTGTGAAATAAAAACCAAAAATAAGAAAACTCCCATTTTGTCAATAATGATAAGAAACCTGCAACCACTACGGTTTTTGCCAAGTCAATTTGTATACTAGACGTATCAGTATTACCTTAATCCTTACCTGTCCATGAAATAAACAATGAAAAAATCCAATTAAAGTATGTAACTATGTAAAAGAACAAAAAGTTTTCGAAATTTCATTATCCTCTTAAGTGAAATTTGGTCAGGGAAATGCAATAAAATAGCGAGTTTGGTGCTTTTCATCTACATATCACGTTCTGCAAGTAATATTATCAGAAAGCTATACGTAGTACTTGACCTTCATCCATTTCACGCCAAGTTATATAAAGTTTGCCAATGGCGTCTACCAACGAACAAATCAACACTGCGATTCAGGTTGAAGCCATGCAAAACCTTTTGTGGCAATTTCCTAATAATCTTGTAAAAAAGAGCATGGTCACAATAGTCGCGTAAAAGACGCGCGCCGGTTGCTCGAAAGTTCGCTTTAAAATGGGAAATTGGGATCTGTGCCGCCAGCGTCACTGGGGATGCCGGTCTTGTCGCTCTGCCTCACAGATGAACGGCTGCGTAGCGTTCTGTGGTCCGTTGCACCAAAACTGACTGGCCACACATATAAACATGTACTGGTACTTTGGTCGGTAGGGGACTCTCTGGCCGACGTAGAAGTGATCCACTTGGAAGTCCTCCCCGGTCACCCAGTGCCACTTGTCGTCGTAATACTTAGCACCGACCCAGACTCTCTCGCTAGGATGGGCGTGCTCTGCAAAAAAAAAATAAAATAAAATAAAATAAAAATAAAAATAAAAATGAAGAGAGAAAGAAAGAAAGATGTGCTGTGTGCCTGGACATTGGTTAATGACTGCTGTCTCGTGGTTCATGTGCATGGCAGCTCTACATACACTGAGTCTGCTATACATACCTGCCAGGAACTCCACCAGTACCGCTTTCTCGTCCTCTGACGTGATCGTAGCTAGGTGTCCGCCCTGAGCCGTGCATGTGTTGGAAGCATTCGCCCAGCCCTGTCCGGCACTGACGTACTGGTAGCAACTGTTATTGAACTCGCGGAACTCTCGAGGGCACACTAGAAAAGAACAACAGGTAGATCAGGTTTAAACTAGGATCGTAGCTAAAACCATTTTGCTGAGAAACGTATACCCCCAAAACTCTGTACCTGGGTCTTGAACTGAGGGATGTCAACCGACGGTGATTCCAGCCAATACTTCCATGCGCCGTCATATATTTCCAGTATTTCCATTTTACGGGTGATCTCCAGGTGTAACAGCGCTGGATACAATGGTCGGTCCTCAAATTTCACGCAATAGAGAAGAAGATAAGACCCATACGTGGATCCACCCATCTATTCGGGGGTTCGGTGAGTGCAATCAGCTTAACAGATTGACAAGCCTCCACTTGACGTTAAGAAGTACCGAAAAACTAGTGATTAAACGAATACGTTGGAAATGAGGAGGCGTGTCATTCAGTTAAAGGCCAACTCCATGGGATTTTCCTTTCAAAATTAAAGGGCAGTTTTCTTCTACTCAAAAATTATTGCCTCGCCCGTTCCTTCATTTGGATTCGATGTTTTTATTCCATTTTTAATTTGATAATTTAGTTTCTAATGAATGGCCAGTCATTCGACGACATCTGCCCACATCTGCCCACATCCGCACTTAAATAAAATGGCGCGATACTTTGTATCGGGGCCCTATGCCGTGTACAATACAGACGTTGCAAGCTGACAATGGCTACAGCAAGGATGATGAGAAGGAAATAACGACGCAAGTTACGCTTCAGATAAACTTTATCTAAAGGTTTTATTGTCTTTAGAGTCTGAACTGGGAAATATAATAATAACTAAAGGCCTATTTTAATAACCTTTACACGACACGAATATGACCGTAGGGGATTTTCAAACGCACGGAGAGAATATCTAGATATTCATTTTAGAGGGAAAATCCCATGGAGTGTCCCTTTAAGCTGATAGCACTTAGCGAGAGTCCTTGCAGAGTTGGGTTGATCTACGTACACTGATGGTGAGTCTATGGGGCTGGGGTCTCAATTATTAGACACATATTTCTGCGTTATGTTAGTGTCTTATTGTTGGTGTTTGTCTGTCTGTCAGTTTGTCTGTGTACCGGTTTGTCTGTCTGCGTGTTGATCTTGCTATCCAATTTACCTGCACACCACTGTCCGTCCCCAGTGAAGCCAGCATTACACAGACAGGCGTAGTTCCCGGGCGTGTTGATACAGCTGGCGTTTTGGTGACAGGAGGACAGCCCGTCTTTGCACTCATCAATATCTGAAACAGTAACACATCTTTAGTCTTTTACTGGAGACAACGGCCTTGGGCTATAACAGGTTACAGAAAACAGTCAAAAACATTGATCGATACAAGAGGTTTAAACAGAGAAAAAACTACCAGACGCAGTAATTATGTTACTGCATGTAAAAACAAAGTTACTGGGTTAAGAACCTCACGGCCAAATCTTTGAAATTAGGCCTCATTCCCAACAAAACTATATATCGTTCGAAGTAGTTCGATCCAACTCTGCAAGCGATGTCCCTAAATGCAATCGGAATACCACGCGTTAAGTCGGTGTTTTTCTGTATTCTGCTTAAAAGTAGAATACAGAAAAACTGGTGATTCTACACGTACATGGAAACAGGAGAAGGCACGTTAATCTGATGTGATTCAGCGAAAGTCCCCGCGGAGGCGGATCGATCTACGTTGAACGTTATAGATTCATTGGGAAGGAGATCATAGATTCGATGTCATGTACCAGAAAGTCCCCCATGACATAATAGAGAACAGAATGACCATCTATATATCTAAAGACACATCTGGGAATATCTAGCCCAAGAAAATAAAACTATTTGTTGTCCTGGTAGAGGGTACCATGGAAGTATTAGATATGCTTCCATGGTGTTACACAGTGTATCAATGCTAAGCTGTGCAAAATATGTCTTTTCTTTAAACGGGACGGAATTCATAACTTATTAAATATACATGTATAGACACTATTTATTCTTAAGAAACATTTGTATAGGTTTGGAGAAATTGAAGAAACCTGGAGTTACACTGTTTGATAAAAAGATATTGGCTATCTTGTATTATGCCCCTATTTCACACAGACCACGAATCCCACGAATCGCCAGGAATTAAAAATTTCAGGATCCGTGGTTGAATCGTAATCAGTTCGTGAAGTTCTGAACAGATTCGTATATAATCGTAGTCAGTTCTTGCAATTCTCGATCAATTGGGAATTCGTGGCAAAATTTTTGAGCTGTTCAAAATTTTGGCTGCGAAATCCCGATTCCAAAAAATCGTAGTGTAGTGAATTTCTGGACAATATTCGTGCGATTCCAGCCGAATTCCACGAATATTCGTAACACTATCGTAACTGTATCGTAACTGAATCGTAGAGCATGTCGAATTAGACCAGAAAATTGGCAAAATCTCACGAATCCTCACGAATCCTGAAATTTGTCAATCCCTGGCGATTCGTGGGATTCGTGGTCTGTGTGAAATAGGGGCATTATGGATCTAAGTTTGGGGGTTTCACACAGGTCATGATTGCGAAATAGTCCAAAATAAGTTGTGCAAAATTTTTTTTTTTGCGTCTGGGCAGAAACACTCCAAATGCAGCAGCAAGGGGTGAATTAGGTAGAAATACGGTGAGATCTCAACGCTTAGTTAAAATTATAAAATAATAAAAATTTTAAAATATTCCGAAATCACTAGAAAATAGGCTCATTAAAGTATGTTATAATAGCATGGCAGAAAGGGATAAAGACTGTTGGGCAAGAAATGTTAAAATGTTCTATTCTCATATGGGTTAGGTATAGTTTGGCTTTCTCAGGGTGTTGAAAATGAAATTGGATTTATAAATGAATTGAAGTACGATGCAAAGACAGTGTCTAGAATGCCCGTTTTACAACGATTTGAGAGAAAAGTGGTTACCAAACATACGGAGTAGAAAAAATGTGTCAGACAAAACACTTGTAGAAATCATGTCTACAGTTGATGCAGCACTTATCCGCAGAGTAGCTGCTTTTCTAGTTCACGCAGAGAATAAGAGAAACATGATTTTAGAGGTTTTAAAAAAATGAAAGCAAGAGTGCATTGCAAAAGAGTAAAAGGTATTAACCCCGATGTTAAAATATTGCTCAATGATGTAATTATGTGTATGATGTCCTATTGTTTGTCTCATTACATATTAATTGTTGGCTTATGTTTCTGTTATACCATTGCACCATGTTCTTATTTTGTATTACTAGCAGTGATGAGATGTTTGTTACACTTGTATAATAATTTTGTTTTTGTCATACTACATGTGGTTATCTTAGTATAAATTGTAAAATGTAATATTGGCCGGTGGTGTAAATTACTGGAATAAATTATTATTTGAAGTTGCATTGAAAATAGACTGATTTAATTTTGTTTTGCAATTTAAATAAAGTTTTAAGTTGAATACCCTATATTCAAATGGAACCAACCCTAAAGGAATGTATTCCGTGGTTCTCAGGCTATGAAATGGATGGCTGGTCGCGATGTCTAATTTTTGGAAAGTGAGCACGAGTTTTCATTCATGTTTATTTAACCTTTAATCCTTATAATTCTTCGCTCCATATCAGCGTTGGTCACCGGTCTTGTAGTACGGAAAACACATTAGGCAAAACTGTATTGCTTTTAAGGGTGTATTTCCCTGTTACTGAGTAAATGGGCGAAAAGAAGAAAAGATGGCGGTTACTAATAAAACACTTGCTTTGCCTTGTTCTTATTTGTCTCTTACCTGAGCAATAACGTCCGTCCCCGACGAAGCCAGATGTACATGTACAGGTGTGACTGCCCTCCGTGTTCAGGCAGGTGGCGTGCAGGTCGCAGGAGCTCTGGCCGGTCTGGCACTCGTCCACATCTACGACAAAATGGTCAAAGTGCAATTAATGAATGAAAATGAACTGAATGCATGAAAAGTCAGATTATATTTTAATCAAGATGACAGCTCGTATTAAGGTCCTTTTTTAAATTTCCTGGGGCCATTCCTTTGCATCATTTTCATTAAAGTATCAAAAAGCCAGTGGATTCTGAGATCTCACTGGTTGATGCGAGGATCTCAAAACCCAATCTTGCAATTACTCTGCACTGTGGATTTTGAAAAGAACTGCAAGGTGAACGGGGGGCTGGGACCGCAGCCGGAACGTATTAATAGACAGTTTTGTTTTTATTTCTGATTTTGGTAGCCTTTTTATTATAATATTGGTCTTGAGGATACTACGTCACCTAGGTATGATCCGATTAGTCCACAAGTTTAAAAAAAAAGAAGAAAAAAACTCCTGTTTCGGAACTGCAGTATTGTCTTTTGAGGGCAACTACACGCAGAGTCACGCCCGGTCTGTTATATGTATATATTATATCTCCTTGTAGTAGTAAGGGAGCCTTTGAAGAAATGCTCAGTTACGTTATTATTATCATCATTATTATTACTAACCGGAGCATGTGGTCTCGTTCTCGTTCCAAATGAATCCTTTCGGACAGGAGCAGGTGTAACTTCCCTGGTTGTTTTTACACAACCCGTTACTACCACATGGCGGCGGCACTAGGCTGCATTCATCAACATCTGAGTGTAAAAGTGTAACTTGTGAATACTGAGTACGTACGTACGCATAGGTCGATGCATGTTACTCTCTCTCTCTCTCTCTCTCAAATATTAGCTAACACTTGTCCCATACATGTGTGCTATTAAAGGGCAGCAAAAAACAAATGAACATTTAAATTCGCGCACGTGCATGCGTCCATACAAATAACTTAGAGAGTGAATGGAATCCAGGCGTTCTCGATTTTATTTATACGTACCCCAACACCTCTCTTGTCCATTTTTTGTGTAGATATGCAGAAACGATGTATAAAATAGGATTTGAACATTCACGTCATCATAACTTTTTGTTTACCAAAATGTTATTTAAAACGTTACTGCACTGAAAATTCCAGTATCCTAAGTCAAAAAATATTGCATGTAACTATGTCAATCATTCTAGTATCCCAAGTTCTTCGGTTCAATGAATAAAAAACTTCTTTACCTTTTGTGGTGGAAGGTTCTGTAGTGAAGGCCCCCGAAGCTTAATGAAAAATAAAAACACATGGAAATGAACAAGCTTTACAACATGAATTATTTTGTACTCTACACTCAGTCAAACATGTTTACCTGGCAGAGAAATCGTTGTCGGAGATGCAGTGATAACAGAGCAACAATCACAAACTGCAATAAGCGGCCAGGGGCATTTAGAACATACGTGTACACTTAATATGCTTTATTCTCTTTAAATTAAAACTAGACAGCTAGACTGTTTATTATACAGAGACTTAACTGAAAAAATAAATCCCGTCACTCCAATTAGAGATTAACAGGCACATTCCAGTAAACATCGAATAAAAATTCCAACACTACATTCTAAACAATGAATACAATAAGTTCATGAACATGCAGTTTATGCCTGTGTTAAAGGAATGGTAGTCTTAGAAATGGTGGTCCTAGGTATGGCATTCTGGGGTCATATACGATAAGTACAGGTTAGAGTCGTCACAGTGATCAGAATATATATAGACACATACAGTGTCTGTATTTAAAAGCGCGTCTTTATCTCTGTGGTTTAATTAAGGATGGATAAGCCAGCTGCAGCCTACTGAAAGCCAGGACATCAAGAACAGAATTAAATGCCCTTTAAATTTAACAGAATTTTGCCATGGCAGGAAAAATAATCTTCAAAAGAATAACTTACCAGTGGTGTTGGGCCCCTGGGTCGTCGCCAGGGCAACGAATTGATCTGCAAAGGCTGAGATCCAGTCAATGGACCTTGCGTTGTGTCTAGGTGACGAGGGCAAACCGAAGACAACATTCGGTGGCTTCAAAGTTGTTAACGCACACTTTGCTTGAACCTTCCTCGTCTTTTTTGACATCAGTTCGGCATGGTCGACAGATCGCTCGGAACCTTTTGCTTTTGAAACATGGCTTTGTTTCCTATGGTCTATGGTCCGTCCGGAATCCCTTCCCTTTGGTTGACGACTAGGGGTAATGGATGGTTCGGTATCTTCTGTTGTCTGGCAATGGGGCTACATGCAAAAGATTGGAATTTTTTATAATCTAATTTTCAAATCGTTACGGATTATGCAATGAATTTTAAGACATTTGCTTAAATCCCATCATAATATCATTATGCCATTGCTTGTTGGTTAGTTCTGATTCAGTAGAAAATTGTTATTCTGATTGGTCGGTTGACTCTTGTCATCGAATTATGATATTAGGCAGAATTATCGGTAGGGCCTATCTACTGGAAGACTCATAGCCAATGTTTGGATCGATAGGTAAAAGGTGACCTGAGCAATGATCTCGAAGGGATAAGTACTGAAATCATTTCATATGGAGAGTTACCCGTCAGCCACTTAGACCAGTGACTTTAACTTAGTGGGTTAATTTTCTATACAATGGATATCAAAATGGAACGTGCGTCCATTTGGATGTTTTTCTGTCACCAGCCCAAAGCTACATGATGGACTTTGATGAAATGTGCAAGATACTTCATAAATAGACTAACTTAGGGAGTGGTCATTATTTAAGTTGAAGGGGGGAGGGTGGAGAAGAAAAGGAAATTTTGAATCTGAAATTTAACAAGGCAGCAAAGCTGTCAAATGTACAGACAAAAAAAACAGAAAATAAAGAATCAAAAAATAGGTCATTTTGTCAATTTTGATGCAATAATAAATAATGCTGTCAATCAACACTGAATTTTAATCATGAACAACAGATAACATGGTTAATAACACGAGTGAACAGGATAGATATTTTCTGACAGTATTCCAAATTATCTTTGTTGATCAATCCTCCATTTTTGATGGTCTTCCAACAGAAAAATATAGATACCCGTCAATGTAAACATTAAAATCTGACCGTCTTCCAGAAGGCCCAGAAGATGGTCTCAATCCGCCCCTGCAATAAGATTACAGTTTCAGGACCATGAGAGTTCAAATTCACATAATGAAAATCACAATATTTGAAAAATGATGACAGTGCATAAAATAAAATAAGGTTTAAAGACATAAATACCAATACAACTGCTTATGTGGAAATACAGAAAATGCGCAGAGGTTCAAATGGATGGGAGCTTAAAGTCACATCTTGAAAATGCCAGTGTTTGAAAAAAAAAATATTCCAATAAAGCTGCTATTCAAACTGTATTAACATGAGATGAATAACCCCATTGAGTTTTTTCACTGCTTCCTTATTATGGACACTTATCTAGCAGAGAACTTAGCCTATGGGAGTTTACAGTATCAACAAGTGTGTTTTAAGTAATCTCATTTAATGGCCAATCTTAATTGACTTTATAGCTCTGAACTTATACCCAAGGGAAAATTACAAATGTGACTAGTAAAGGTCTTCAGGCCCATAAGTCACACCTTAAAAAGATGCAGAAAATAGGTCATTTTGTCAATTTTGATACAATAATAAATAATGTTTATAACAGCACAATCAACACTTAAAGGGATAATAACTCTTTGTATGAGATCTATATTCCACAATAAGACATTGTAAAAAAACTCATAGAAATATAATATATTCTGTTTTACCACAAAAATGGCAGTTATAGCTATTATTCTGATATCCGAGCTTGTCATTGCACCATGAGACTTCCGCAGACTATACTCTGTTATAATATTTAAGAGATTATTACAAAAAAAGAAAAAAAAACTTTTTACAAGAAATTCAGGGACTAACTTTGAATGTAGAAATTGATTCATTAACCATTGGTAAGTATGGGGAAATTGTGGTTTACTCCAGGAAAATTCAATTTTTGGCCAAAACGAACAGTTATTAATCCTTTAAAGTTAATTATCCACAAAAGGTAACATGGTGAAAAAAATTACATTTTCAGGACCATATGTGAGAGTTCAAATTCACATAATGAAAATATCAATATGTGAAAAATGATGACAGTGCATAAAATAATATTACCTAATGTTTAAAGACATAAAAAATCAATACAATTGCTCATGTGGAAATACAGAAAATGCACAGCACTTCTGGTGGATGGGGCTTAAAATTCACATCTTGAAGATGCTAGAGTTTGAAAAATAATTTTAAAAAAATCTTAAATAAAACAACAAAAAATTCCAATAAAGCTGCTATTCAAACTTTTATCTAGCTGTATTAACATGATATGGATAACCCCACTGAGTTTGAGAAAAATAAGGCACTGTTATTCATCCATAGCATGTTGACATAACACAAATTTTTTTCTGTTGTAAATTTATTTGCAATATTAAACAACATTTACCTGCATAATTATCACCAAATCGTAATTATGTGACACAGTTAAGAGAGCTAAACCTATGGGACTTTACAGGGAAATCTCAACGAGTGTTTTATGTAATCTCATTTAATGGCCAATTGAAAATTAATTACTAGGCAAGACTTTATAGACCTTAATTTAATTAGGGATCCATACAGTACCACCATATAGCACTCTAACAGAAAACAATCACAATGATTTTCCAACACAAGATGCAATTTTCAGTAAGTACCATAAGTAACATGGTTTTCCCTTGATGGTCATCAGTGTCCAAATTTTTTCCCCATTTTGATGCAATATTACACAATGCATAACAGTATAATAACCATCAATTTTTAATAATAAAATAAAAGTATCATGAATATTCAAAAAATGTGACATGAAAAGGTCTTCAAGGCCATGGAAGTTAAGAGTCACACCTTCAAAATGCCAAAATGTAAACAAGAGATAACTGTACTGAAATGATTTTCTTACCATTTTCAGCACCTTTTTTTACATAAAACAAAATGATCAATTTACTGTCATTTTTAAATGATCAACTAAAAAAATTGTTGACATAAGAAAAATATCAATGGAACAATTTAAAATGTTCAATTTGCTCCATTCTGAGATTCTGAACATAGTGAATGATTGAATCTGACAAAATGTAAAGATATGAGTTTTTCCCATTTTGACACTTTATTACACAATACACAATAACAGGTTTACTATCATTTTCAAATAATCAACTAACAATATTGTAAAGATGGAGAAAATGTCAAAAGAACAACTTAACATATCTAATTAGTTCAAAAATGAATGTTAACATGCCAGAGAATTAAATTTGAGGAAAAACACTTACATACAAAAAAAAAAAAAAAAGGCATCACCAAAACTTAACTGATCAAGCATATTTTCAAAATTGAATCTGTGTTTCAGTAACATTGATCACTCCTGTGAATTTCAAGACAATTGGCCAATCGATTTTCCTTAAAATGTGTTATAGGTGTTGCATGTATGCTGAAAAAAGTGAAAAAAACAGCACAACTTCTATAAAATTGGCCTGATCATGCTGATTTTCAAACATGACCTGTGTATTAAAAATATTCATCAGTTCTGGAAGTTTCAAGCCAAAAAGTAAAGCGGTTTTTCACTTATCATGTTATCAATGTTGCATATATGTTGAAAAAAAGTGAAAAAAAAACAGCAAAACTTCCCTAAAAATGGCCCGATCATGCTGATTTTCGAACTTGACCTGCGTATTATGAATATTCATCAGTTCTGTAAGTTTCAAGCCAAAAGGTAAAACGTTTTTTCACTTATCGTGTTTACGGTGTTGCATATATGCTGAAAAAAGTGAAAAAAAAGCATAACTTCCCTAAAAATAGCCCAATCATGCTGATTTTCGAACTTGACCTGCGTATTATGAATATTCATCAGTTCTGTAAGTTTCAAGCCAAAAGGTAAAACGTTTTTTCACTTATCGTGTTTACGGTGTTGCATATATGCTGAAAAAAGTGAAAAAAAAGCATAACTTCCCTAAAAATAGCCCAATCATGCTGATTTTCGAACTTGACCTGCGTATTATGAATATTCATCAGTTCTGTAAGTTTCAAGCCAAAAGGTAAAACGTTTTTTCACTTATCGTGTTTACGGTGTTGCATATATGCTGAAAAAAGTGAAAAAAAAGCATAACTTCCCTAAAAATAGCCCAATCATGCTGATTTTCGAACTTGACCTGCGTATTATGAATATTCATCAGTTCTGTAAGTTTCAAGCCAAAAGGTAAAACGTTTTTTCACTTATCGTGTTTACGGTGTTGCATATATGCTGAAAAAAGTGAAAAAAAAGCATAACTTCCCTAAAAATAGCCCAATCATGCTGATTTTCGAACTTGACCTGCGTATTATGAATATTCATCAGTTCTGTAAGTTTCAAGCCAAAAGGTAAAACGTTTTTTCACTTATCGTGTTTACGGTGTTGCATATATGCTGAAAAAAGTGAAAAAAAAGCATAACTTCCCTAAAAATAGCCCAATCATGCTGATTTTCGAACTTGACCTGCGTATTATGAATATTCATCAGTTCTGTAAGTTTCAAGCCAAAAGGTAAAACGTTTTTTCACTTATCGTGTTTACGGTGTTGCATATATGCTGAAAAAAGTGAAAAAAAAGCATAACTTCCCTAAAAATAGCCCAATCATGCTGATTTTCGAACTTGACCTGCGTATTATAAATATTCATCAGTTCTGTAAGTTTCAAGCCAAAAGGTAAAACGTTTTTTCACTTATCGTGTTTACGGTGTTGCATATATGCTGAAAAAAGGGGAAAAAAACCATAACTTCCCTAAAAATGGCCCGATCATGCTGATTTTCGAACTTGACCTGCGTATTATGAACATTCATCAGTTCTGTAAGTTTCAAGCCAAAAGGTAAAACTGTTTTCCACTTATCGTGTTTACGGTAAAAGTGCACGCCAACGGCAACGGCAACGGCAACGGCGACGACAGACGCAGGTGATGGCTATATGTACAGACACATCTGTGTCTGTACATAAAAATGACAGATAAGGGGGTCTTGAGAAAACTTATATATATACAATTAAAATAAATTAATAAATAAATAAACAAGAGACATGCAATAACCCCGACTCCGAGTTTCACGGGCATACCCAGAAGGTATGCCTGATCGTCAGGAGGTTTATTTGAAAATTTTATAATAATAATAATAATAATATTTAAATAAACACCTCCTGATGATCGGGTATAACCTATGGGTATGTACGTGAAATTCAGAGTTGAGGTTCACACATGTTCACACATTTATTCCTTTTAAATTGTATATATATATCTTCAGGATAATCAGGATATATATATATCGTGAGCAGTTCATATATATATATATATATATATATATATATATATATATATATATATATATATATATATATATATATATATGAACTCAAGTTTCTTCATATTTCAAGAAGTTTTCCCTAAAATTCAATAAAATTTGCAATAATAATAAAATACGGCACTGGATGTTTTACATTGACCTGTTTTAATGCATCTATTATGATTTATATACCGTTGTTCATATAATACAAAGCATTATATCTCACTAGAATACATGTATAAATATATCTAAAATATTAACAAATCTTGTCTGATTAAATTTCACTGTATATTTCGCCTTTCCATGCTACTAGTTTTCTTTTATAAGAATGAAGGGAATAAATTCAGTAGTGTTTTATTATGTACAGTTAAATCCTGTCTTATTAAAGAGAAAAATCAACAATGTCTACATTCAAGTTTTGTTGTAAAACCATTCAATTACATGAAATTTTTCATAATTTTATAAGTACCCACATGAAAACATTTTTGTTTTTGACTACAGTGTTTTTGACTATTTGACTTTTCATGCCATGTTTTAAAGATTATTAAACTTTTCACAGTTCGTATATTTTATCGGGGGTGGGGGACTGAATTTATCAATCAATCAGAAGGATGGTCATGAGAAAATTTGAATGCTGCCAGGGGTGTTCTCAAAAATTTTTGGGGGGGAGGGAGGCGGGACACAGGCAGTTTCTCCCCGCCCCTCTGATTTAAATAGTGCCCGGTCCCTTAGAAGTGATCAGATTTTGGTGATGAACCATTAATTAATCAATTAGTACATCAATAGTTAATAATTTGGCTTGGCGTTGGTCTGCGTTCAGTGAGTCTAGTTGACGACGAGATGGCGAATGATACATTTAAAGAAACTACATCAGAGAGAACCCCACTGGTGCCAGGCTTCGCGCACTTGTTTCTATCTTTTATCAGTCCCAGTTGAAAAGCAGAGATGAAAAACAAATTATACGATGTGTGAGGCTCCGATATCCGGTATGTTCTGCTATGGGGACGTCTCTAGACAACGAATGATGTAATATTGAATATATAAATATATATAATAAAAAATAAATCATAATAGAATCAATCAAGAAGTCAGTACTCACCAATTCACATGCATTACCAGGCCTGCTGCTGGCACACGTCAGGTAGCGACATTCGAAATAAACGTTGTCAGAGCCGGAGAACTTGAAGCTCTGAAATGGCGGCGATAGCGTTATAAAGCGCTCGCTGGTTGACGGCACGGCGATGAAACCTGCGTCAGACGGGACAAGGCCGTCAAGCCCGCACCTGCAATAGGCAACAAACTCACACAGTTTTGTTACAAATATAATATATACGTACCCTTCACACGCGAACAGACCATGAGCTATAGCTTATCCATTTCAGGAATACAAGGGGTCCGTTTGTCCTTTTTAATGTGATATAAGGCACTCCAAACCTTAGCTCCATGTGCCCCATGTGTTACACATGAATACATTTTCCAACGAGGTGTATTATTGTGAAATATGTATAAATCAAATTCTGGAACTTATATTTAGCAACTTACCGGCGTAATTCTACTGGATGACTGAAAACATTCACTCATTTAGCAAAGGCGAAGAATTCTTTGTTACAATGTAAAGCAATGTTGGTACATTTAAAATTTTGAAAATATAGTTTATACTACGGGCAGGGAATAGCAAAATGAAACAAAGACCAAATATTAGAAGAACCATAAATCTAAGAGAAGAATCACCCGAAAAGAAGGAATCAGTTAATTTAAGACCGAAGTGATAATTGTAGTCAAGCCGTGGTCAAAGGTCAACTAAGGATCCAGTAAAGTGAAAGCAGCAACGTTGCCATCTTACCCATTGTCAGCAGTCAGCGTCACTGTTCGGAATTTTTTTACAGATTCATGCGCCGCGCATTTTGTCACTCGCAATCCCTGGTGGGCTGAAAATATAATTGTATGAGATATTAAAGACATTTAGCCTCTTTAAAAGAATAACAGAAAAGATTTAAATGTTTATGTAGAACATAATGTTATATAGCTTTTAACGGAATTAGATGTTATGTTTTGATATCACTTACACATGTTGTATTGCATGTTGCGTCAACTGTTGTGTTTGATAACCGTGGGACTGGGGCCGGCAGATATGCTAAGGTGACTATATAAAATAAACTCTTTGTCCCAGCCTTATCCGGACAAGCAAAGACCATTCACCTGTTCACCAAAGGAGTGCGCCAGCTGACTGGAGGAGCGACAATTAACTGAAACCGTGGAAACCAAAACTGAGACAAAATGTGCGAATAGTTGGATATATTACCTGTATTCTTAAGCAGGGTTAGGCGCACCTGTATGGACTGTCCGACTTCAATGGTGCTCACGACTTCTGAGCTACCACCCTTGATAATGTCCATGGTGATTTCAGCGGCCCCAGCCAAGGTGCTCGCAGAACCGCAAAACTCCACATTTTGAATGGATGTAAGCGATAACTTACCTAAAAAAGATCATTAACACTCTGTCAGTAGTTCATCCTAGGGCCAAATCTGTAAGCTGCATCACTGAACTACCACAGTTTTCTTCATAGCAGGTGGACACAGGACATATAGGTACTCTTATATTGCAAAATAAAAAAAAAAAAAATAGCACTTGTGGGCACCTTTGTCCTTGAATTTACATATGACAGTGCAACGTACAAACACATGCACACATACAAGCACGTGCACACACAACTCTGTGTAATAGTACAAACACACACCACACATTTCGACAGCAGTATTCACTACTGCCTAGGTAAGAATTGGGTATACTTTCTGGCTAAAGATAGCCTCCAGAGGCAGTCACTTTCGTGGCTACCACCATTTGCCACTTCCAACAGAAGTGACTGACCAGACCAGGGCACGCACCTGTCCGTCCTGAACATAGCGGCCCCGCCACGGATACAACGCCACTCAGCAGCCACAGGTACAGGAACGAGGAATCTGCCATCTTTCCGCTCAACAATGTCCTCTCTGACCCCTGACCGCCCACCTAGCCCTGGGTAGCACTGGTCACCCCTGCCCAAGCTATGTTAGCTATAAGCGGCAGAGGACAGGACTGTGGTCGCTTTGACCATAGAACCTTTCCAACCGTAACGCAACACTTTCTATCCCAGTACGGATTCAAACCTGGCATCTGTCGAATGTTCAAACTGAAATTTAAATCTAAACTGCATACATGGATATAAATTGTTAACATTTCCCTGGACTGGTATTTTATTAACTTGTAAAATGCATTAAATAGTATTCAGTTGCAGGTATTTCGACAGTGTCGTTTGGCCTTCTGGTGCATTAAAAAAGGTAACGAGGAAATAAATTTTTGCAATGTTTTGGTTATGTTTTAAGGGCATCGGTATAAAATGTTTGCCGCATTCTCCATGTGCCCATTCTGGCGTCACTCCCATGTAAAAACATGCAACCCACGGTTGTGTCCAACAGACGAATTAACTTCGTGCGCCTCTTTACAATAGATTTCGAAATCTACGAAAATATTTTGCATCTTGCGTTCGAATGCAATATCATCGTTATCATAATCAACTCCCCAGGATTGTTTGCGTTTCGGTGCCGCGTCAGGGTGTTCATTAGCTCGTGTTCATCACGGTTTCTCCGTGAAAGCACTGTTACTGTACATCCTAGCGTCTACCTTGCTTATGCGGTCACCATTGAAATGTATGACAATAGATTCAAGTATTGGCCTAAGATTATTTTTCCTTGGGAAACGTTTAAATGTCTTTATGTGCACAAGTTCTCTTGAGCTATGAGGCCATCTTTCCAATTTGTCATGGTTTTTTCGTGAATCTAAAACAGCGTATATAAATTTATATGATTTCTAAATCTATTCTCTGTCATATAATACAGAGGTAATTTGAAATCGACACTGACAAATACAAAGGGTATGTCTGGCGAGGAATGCGTTCCCGTTGATTGCTCGAATTATTACAGGAGCTTTTCAACATTTTTATAACAGACTACTATCGCACCCTGTAATCAAGGAGTAAGGATTCATTATGTTGAATCATAGTGTGCGCCAAGAGGGTAATGTGGTGAGAGGGTCGTTGTTTGCCCTATTTAGGATTGAGATCATCTGTAGTGATATAAGGTACATGTAACATTGCTTATTTTCCGTTGGCGATATTTTCAAAAAAAGGGCGCATTTCCCACTTTAGGCATAATGACCAGAAGGACATTTTACTGGCGTGAACGACATCATCCGTGAGAAAATCAAAACCAGCTTAAAGTTTGAATAGTTTTAATTCTTTTCCGATAATTTTTTCAGGGGGATTTCCAAAAAAAAAAAAAAAAAAAGTGTCCAAGAATTGATATGCATCTTCCGATGTACCCAACATAAGACGCCTGTAGGACTGGGATAACGGTTACACTGGCCATCTGTAATATTTCTCACATAGTTGAGACTTATAAGTGCCGAAAATAAATTATTCATTTAAGTTTTAAGGTTTTCGAAAGAAGGAGTGTAATTGTTTTTTAATGTGTCTGTTTAAATCTTTTTATGGATAAAACAGAAAAAGACAAAATGGACAACACTGCATGTAATAGAGCCGTCATAACTCCTTTGCTGGCCTCTTTCCATCGTTACCACAACCTAGACATACCTAGAGATCTTATGTGACCATGGTCAAGTACGCTTTATTCGGTATAGGGGGTGTTTTCCGGTGAGGTACGAGGACTTTAATGACAAATAATGTACTGCCACCCTACATGAGACACCCTTGAACACCCCTCGTTGACGCTGGAGGTGTTCTGACGTCCATAAGACTCTTATTATGTCCAAGATAAGAACGTTATCCTTGTAGAGCAGAGTGTGTGAATAAAGCACCCTATAGGGCAGAGTGTGTGAAGTAGGTGCTGTATTCACACTATGAATACAGCACCCTGTAGGACAGAGTGTGTGAATACAGCACCCTGTAGAGCAAATTGTGTGAATACAGCACCCTGTAGAGCAAATTGTGTGAATACAGCACCCTGTAAAGCAGAGTGTGTGAATAGAACACCCTGTAGAGCAGAGTGTGTGAATAGAACACCCTGTAGAGCAGAGTGTGTGAATACAGCACCCTGTAGAGCAGATTGTGTGAATACAGCACCCTGTAGAGCAGAGTGTGTGAATACAGCACCCTGTAGAGCAGATTGTGTGAATACAGCACGAGGAGGCTCCCACCACTATTTGACATAGATATGATGTGAAGCACATAACATAACGCAGGCGTTTAGGGCGTTTATAGGTACTGTAGATATATATTTTGCAATCAGAAGGCATGAACCTTTTTTCTCTGTGTCTACAAAATTCCGTTCGGTTTTAGCTTTGATCCCTTTCTTGTTTATATTTTCGAGTTTTTTTATTTTTTAAATCAGCACAAAGATAAATGCATTATTGAATAATTAGATGCAGGAAAAAACTCACTTTTTGGTATCTGGGTGATAATAAAGGGTTACAATACCTTTAAATCTGCATCTTTTTCAAATTTCTGCTCGTAAACTTGACCGTATCAGTCATAGGACAACTAATTATCCGCCCTTTCATTTCCTTTCGTAATATAACGAAAAAAGAATGGAAGCACAAACCTTGGACTATCTCGCTATGTTATAGCACGATAATTATATACTTGTTTTTTAAGTATCTTTGCTACGAGCGAAGTGAAACAAGTATATGAATAACATACGAGGGTATTTACTACATTGTAGTATCCTCCTGCGATGCACTGTGGAACTTGTTTTTTTATCCTGTTCTGCTCGTTGTCCTGCTGATTTCATTTCAGTTTTGCCTGCTGCGTTGATTAACCTTTGAGTTAGTCTCCAGTATATTGCTTATTTGATAATTTTAATATAAAGACCCCTATTACGTGTGAACAAAAAAAAAAAAAAAAATAAAAATAAATAAATAAATAAATAAATAAATAAATAAATAAAATAACATAATAAATAAATAAATAAATAAAAATAAATAAATAAATAAATAAATAAATAAATAAATAAAATAATAATAATAATAAAGTGGGGTTAATCTGGATGGTTAGATTTATAGTTGTGTAAATAGTTTTCACCAGATTGGTAATTCTAAAGTCATGTCGTTTCATTATTAATTAGATGCTATGTGATTAATAACTAATGAATGTTTATTTGAAATTATATTTTATTAGATTCAGACAAATTTTTCAGACAAATTCATTAACTATTTAGCATTAATATGATCACCCTGAAATTGCTTCGTCTCATCTAGCACATTTCTATGAGATAAGTTGAAGGCACCAGTCATGTTTGGATAATTTATTGAATAAGGGTTTGACTTCTATGGTAAGCTTGTGCCCTTTTTCATTTTCCCGGTGAATTATCACCCAAACCTAATATAGAGGTGCAAATGAGGTCACAGGCATGCTCTTAAAAATATTTAGTGCACAGATTGCAAACTATGTTTGATTATTTTAGGGTCCCACATGAAGTAGTTTGTATCAAAGATTCACTTTCCTGGAAACATGAATGATAAAAAAATAATTCATCGTCTAGCCCAAAATGCAAAAACCCCAGCTGTGAAACGTTTTATTCAATTTTGAAAATTCAATCATCACTGGTTTTGTTCTTTGATTTATCTCCCACAAGTATAACGTGAAAATTATGGTAGTCTTTTGTATAGAGCAGCTAATTGTTTTTTGAGCGACATTATAGTTTGCTTGCCACTTAATATTTAAAATAAAAACGGGGAAAATACACCCTTTTAATTCATTCAATTTTATTTTTTGGACACTTCAGCATTTGAAATGCACCTCTAGTATATTGGGTTTGGGTGTTATAAGCAAAGCAAAGTATGTAAGGTTATCATTTTTTAAAATTATCATAACGGACCATTTCTGAACATAAATTTTGCTTTTACAAAAAAAAGAAAAGTCCTCAAAATAGCACATATGTCGAAGACTATATGCACTTTGGAAACGCTGCTTAAGCAACGTTTTCTTTTGCTTAATAAAAAAGAAAAAAATTTCGACAAATTTCTAACCAAAGCAAAATTCATGGAGTTTTGATAATATTCGATAAAATGAAAGTTCAATCATGTCATGCCAAACAACTTTGGTCAAAGTTGACGTTACTCTTATAAATGAATACAAATTCCATCGAGGAACATTTTGATTGATTTTAGTAGCGTGAGCGCTATCATAATATTAAAATAGATTTAGTTTCTTGTATAAGCGTTATGCGCTCATATGCACACCTTGTTCTTTGCCGTGATGCTTATTCTCGCCAGTAAAATAAAAAGGTAGACAAAAATAACTTTATAAAGATTTGGTGTAGTAAAGGGTGGCTGACACTTTTTGTTTTTATAAAATCGTAACAAAGGTAGGTTTAATGGCACGATTTGGAGAGAACTTAAAATTTCGCACTGCACACGAATCAGGAACGGCATAAAAACATGGTCAGTTGACAAGCTTATCCCAGTCATAGCAATATTTAAGGATAATATTCAAACAAAACTGAAAAGATTTCACAAATTCAGTAACTTTACTCAAGACCAACTTTAATTGGAGCGATGACCTGCACAATATTAGTTAGTCTTTCCACTCAAAAAATCCAAATCACTAAATATTTTCATTTGTATATTTTGATAGTGTCTATTTTGCACATTTTATAACAAATGCTTCAAAAACAGTATTTTTGTAATTATTCAGTAAAATCTCAAATAACTGACAAAACCATAAGAACATGTAGCAATTGTGCTTAAGCGATATTAACATAATTGATGCTACTTCATAAAATCATTTGGGAAAACTCTTTACCCCCCTCCCAACCCTTGAAAAGAAGAAAGTTTTACGACGGCTGAAGTTATTTGATTGGCATGCTAATTTTTCGAAATCTTAAATGTAAAGGTATTCATAAATGCCATTCCTACATAGACATTTTAAAGCATATGGACAAACATGTTTTTGTATGAAAGAACTTACAGCTCTGCTCTGCGATATTGGCAAAAAAGTGTTTAACACAAAGGAGCTCATGCACTGCTGAAATTTTGGCAACCCACGGAGGGACCAATTTCTGTATCACGTGGGTAACATACCTTTACCTACTGCAATAAGATACGCAGTTATGTTGTAAAAAATCTTTCTATCCCGTTCCCGGTTTCATTTTCTTAAAACAAATGTTTTGACCCCTTCCCAGCACTGTAAATATGTATCTGTCACTGATCAGACAAGATATCAAAACACAAAAAACAAATGAAGTTTATTCTTAACAAGCAACACAAAACATCCACTATTTCATGGAAGATCGTTCCTATACCTGGCCTATATCTGGAATCACGTGGGCACATTTTGTCATTTTCATAACGCTGTAAATTCCGAAGTGTTATAATTTAAGTATTTTTATGTGATTCATATGAACTTCTTGCTCTATTCTGAAAATAAACAGTCAATATGTATATATATCTGATTATCTCTCAAAAGTATCACGAAGAAGCATTTATATATATGAAATGAAGAAGAAACATTTTCTTTCCATCAAAATCACTAATTAAATTCAAATCACTATCAAAAACATGTTCAAAGCGCAGCTAAGTGCCTAACTGAAGATTTGCCCAAAGAAAAATTATTACCGTTTTATAGAAAACAGCAGTGGTAGAATAGTACTTCATCCGAACATCGCTTAGTTTTCATCCATCACCTAAGCAAAACATTTTATTGAAATTATTTTACCACAGGAGAACTCCAAAAAGTGCCGTGTATAAAATTGTAAAATGTCTGTTTTATAAGAATGAGAAAATGAATTAAATAAAATCTGACGTTTTAAGCATGACCCAAACACAACAGCAAAATCCTATCTGGAATACCTCCCGTCAAGATCACGATTGGAATGTTTGTGGATTTTTCACGTTTTAAATCTGTGTTAAGACCATTAGAGAACGAAAATGTTAGATTTTGCCCGATATCATCATCCATAAACCGATTTTGTAGTTGTCTGTATTAGTTTCCTCGTTTATGACACCACAAACAGTTTAAGAATAGAAAACTACATGTATTTATAAAACTGTGCATGAATGTGCGTGTTTTATACAACTACATACACGTATGTCGGCTTGCGTTTTAATACAGCTCTGTATATAGGAGTAGAGGAGTGCGTTTTATACAACCATTATGTAGGTGTGTGTTTTAAATAATTATGTATGTAGGTGTGTGTTTTAAATAACTAAGTATGTAGGTGTGTGTTTTAAATAATTATGTATGTAGGTGTGTGTTTTAAATAACTAAGTATGTAGGTGTGTGTTTTAAATAATTATGTATGTAGGTGTGTGTTTTAAATAACTAAGTATGTAGGTGTGTGTTTTAAATAATTATGTATGTAGGTGTGTGTTTTAAATAACTAAGTATGTAGGTGTGTGTTTTAAATAATTATGTATGTAGGTGTGTGTTTTAAATAACTAAGTATGTAGGTGTGTGTTTTAAATAACTAAGTATGTAGGTGTGCCTTTCATACAACCATGCTTGTAGGTGTGTGCTTTATACAACTAAGCTTGTAGGAGTGTTTTATATTACTATCATGGGCGTCCGAAAGAAAAAAATTTCCGTGTGTGTGTGTGTGTGTGTGTGTGTGTGTGTAAAAGTCATTGAAGGGGGAGATAATGATTAGCTGGGAATAAAAATGAAGTTCCAAAATTCCAGGGGTGTCAAGTGACCCCATTGACCCCCCCCCCCACTCTGGACGTCCATGATTACTATGCATGTAGGTGTGCATTTTATACAACTATGTATATGTGTGTTTAATACAACTATACTTGAAGGGGTCTGTTTTATACTCCTATGTTGGTTGTAATCCCTCAAGCTTTGGGTACCAGTACCAGCAAGGTCAGATATCAAGTTGACAAAAACGACCATATTATCTGTAACTACTTTCCGCACAAGGTGCCTACTTTCAAGCACAAATTCATTTATTAAACTCTAGCAAATGTTTCAAAGTAATAAACGCAGGAGGAGTAAGGATACAAATTTTACGCAGACTAAATGCATTCCAATTTCCAAACAACAACAAAATGAACTGGTAGACTTACAAAGAAATTAATTATTCAGTATTAATTGGGGCTGTGTTGTTGTCTTTTATGAATGAAAATTGAATCATTTATTCTTTTACAGAAATAAGTTACTTTACTCAATTTATTAACAGAAAAACAAGTGCACAAAATGAAATTCCCAAAATCACTACCATCAGAGCAACTATGGCAAACCCCCACATTTCAAGATAAATGTGCATAACAAGCGAGACTCACAGCATAGCTGTGTACATTCACTATAATGCATACACAGTACTACAACCAGTCTCAAATAAAATCTGCATGCTAAAATATATTCCAAATCAGTCACTCCATCAGCAAAAAAGGTTTTAAAAGTGCAATTGCTTGTTGTCAACTTGAACAGCTTATCCATCCCTCCAGTTCAATATGAAACAAAAGGAAATAATGAAATAAAACCGTGTGATATTTCTTTCATACCATTTAAAACTATGGGATTGCACTTGGTGGGATCTGGCAGCAATAATCTGACAAAAGTATTTCCTTATCTTGCTGGTGAAGTGGATATCTTGGAGGGTATAATTTTGAGATTAACCTCATTACACAAACACTAGTTTATAATAGTAATAAATATATGCAAATACTAATATAAATCTAACCAAAATCAGAGATATCTTTTCACATTTTTCGTTGTCCAACCACAAACCCTTGTATAGTATAATTATGAACAAATAATAAAGAACTCCATGAAATAAGAGAGTACAACTTCAGGCTTTGGTCAGGTAATGCAATCATCTGCTGAAGTGTAGTGGGCAGGAGGCAAGAACTGGTACTAAACCCATTATACAATAACCCATTATAAAATAACAATAGTCAATTTAACTTATATTGCACTAATACTCAATGCATATCAACATATTCATGCAGAATTGCAAAATTGTAGATTCATATGCATGGAGTCTAGCTGTATTACATAATTAAAGCTTTTTATCAGCTGTTATTCTACCTGGAATGTTAATGGTGTATGACTTTACACTTTATATTACCACAGATTTTTCCAAAAGACAATGGCACAATGCACACCCTCTCTCATCCAGTGAAATGGCACATCAATATCAAAGAGCAAACTCTGTCACACTAACTGAAATACACTGGCAGCCTAGAGTATGAACCTTAATATTACAGAGCATACTCTGTCACTCTGATAGAATACACTGGCAGCCTAGAGCATGAACATCAACATTACAGAGCATACTCTGTCACTCTGATAGAATACACTGGCAGCCTAGAGTATGAACATCAACATTACAGAGCATACTCTGTCACTCTGATAGAATACACTGGCAGCCTAGAGCATGAACATCAACATTACAGAGCATAATCTGTCACTCTGATAGAATACACTGGCAGCCTAGAGCATGAACAAAGAGCAGGCAGCTAAGCCATAATAAGCAGTACTGAACTGAACTTCACCAAACTCCTATTGAAATTTAAACATCCTTCATTAGATTTTAAAACCAGTTTAAAACCAAGTTAAAACTAAGACTGCATTCCCACAGATTTTAGATCGATCTATCCCTGTGGGGAGTCTCACTAGCTGCTGTCAACTTAGCCTGCTTAAAAGTCTGGCCCGCCTACTAAAAGCTGTAAGGGGGGAATTAACTTCCCTGCGTGATGGGCTGACAGCAATTTAGCATGAACCCCCAGGAAGTTAGGTCGATCCAAATGGATCGATCTAAATCTGTGGGAATTCAGTCTAACAGTTTATCAAAAGTTCAATTTCAATTGTACCATTGTTTATATTTCTAGTTATGTATACAACAATATTGTACCATCTGACCAGCTTCATATCATCACAGAACTGGTGAAGTATATTTAAAGATAAGTTAAACTAGAGTACCTGCTCAGATCTGTAGAATTAAATGGTCAGCTGTCACCTGCTGACCAAAGATGTTATTTCTTTGCTACACATGTAGAGATAATATGTGTACAATCTTAACCAATAAGTTTTATGGTTATATAATTTCAATATATCCCTGCTCTCCTACATTTTTTGGTTAGTGCCTTGATTGTAGAAACTGACATTACATAATGGGACATTTATACTCTTAAAGCTACCAATTGCTGAGATTTAATGTTCAATCAAGTATCTGACTGCCTCTGGTGGTGTCCCGTCAGGCAGGGGGAGGTGACGCCCTTGGTGACTTGATCTCTCCAGTTCCTCACGGAAATATTCTACTGTCTTGTTGATACCATCCATCATGTTCACCTGGGAAGAGAAAATTACATCAACAGGACATATACTACCTTTATTACTTTTTAAAATTATGATTTTAATATTATCTATACAATGTAATATACATATATTAGCAATTCACCAGTCTAAATTTTATCCTGTAACTTATAATAACACTTATTTTAATTAAAGCTATAAATCAGTTTGTAGAGTTCACATTTTACAACATTTCTTCTTTTTCACTTCCAAAATACTGGTCCTAATTTCATGATTGCTAAGAAATTAGTTAAGGTTTGTTGCATTGTTCAGTGCCACTTTTAGTACTCTTAACTTTTATACCATCCTATTACATGTTGAACTTTGATGCCATCCTATTAATTTGGTTTCAGCTTCAGGTGGGCTATCTCCCCCAACTTTGGGCTGCCAGTTTAGGCATATAGCTTTGACACCATCACATTTTATTAGCTTAAACTTTGACACAATCCCTTTATATTTTGTTTGAATTCCAGTGTGCTATCCACACTGACCTTGGGCTGCCAGTTCAGGTATTTCTTGGCTCTGGATATATCTGGTTTCCTCTTCTGAGGATCGTCTTGCATAGCTGGCTTGTGGACTATCTCACTCTGGCTCTCTAGAATAGGTTTATTGAATCAAATATGTCAGAGTTTATGAAACACAAAAAGTAATATCTCCTTATATACTAAGACAATGAGCTGATAAAAAATTTGAAATGTCTTGAATATATATATATTTTGTTTTGGTTGTGCCCCTGACGAGGCCTCAGGGCCGAAACAGCTGTAGGGCATTTTTTAATAAAATGGAGAGAAAGGACTAATTTATTCGTATCCTTGATTTTATATATATATATATATCATGGAGTATATGATTGATTCACTTTAGAAGAGTGCTCTACCCATGATGACTGACCATAGGGAGCTGATATAGAAAGAAAAGAAAATGAACAAAGTTGATCTGTTTTCTCCATGTTTAATATAGCCCTACGCCCGTTTTGGCCCAGAGGCCTCATCAGGGGCTGGACGCAAAGAGGTCAAATACAAAATACATAAGTAGACTCTGATTACCAATGAACAATGTGATTAGTTGTATAAATTCACATGTGACCTTATTGCCACAATGTGCACGCTCGGCTGTCACCTCTAACCTCCCATTACACCGGGCTTATGAAAAGAAGCCATGCCATTGGACAGGTATTTGTAATGCTACCTGCGGTTAGTGGAGAGGACTGACTCAAGCGTCAAAGCGGGAATTTTGATTTACGGTTTGATTGTGCGTATGCCATGCACAGAATTAACAAACAAGCGACGGGATGATGTAGCATGCGGCATTTGCGGTAAGCGTGCCAAGTTTTAGGCCGCTACGATGCCCGGCAGTATTTTATTTCGATTATTACAGGGTATGAAATTTGTATAAATTTGAAACCGGACAGCAGGGCTGGCAAATTGAAAAGTAGCCAGCCCTGACCAAAAGTAGCCAGTCCTGAATTTTTTGAAAATTACCAGATTAAACCAATTGCAGGCAAGAACAATATTGAAACAGGGACTCTTAGTCTCAAAGTGAATTTATTCAAGTAGATTCTTCACTGACAGCATCTTAAACGTTATGCTCTGAACCCAAATCAGAAAAGTCTGATTCACTGTGACTGTCATAATCAGAGTCTAGTTGCACAACCCGCTTGTTACAAATGCTCCGTGGGCATACTTATGAAATCTTTCCGGTTGTTGCCTAGAAACCAATGGTGCAAATACACTTCGATAGGTCTTGCAAAAAAAGTTTGACCTTTTTACTATCAGTCTCATCACAAATTAACCAAGAAAATTCAGTTTTCCATGATGGCACAACTGACATTTTCCTTTTGCAGGGCTGGGGGGGGGGGGGGGGAGTGTTATATTATTTTATTAAAATATTCAAAATTTATAATATTTGAATAAATTTCATCAAAAACTGAAGAATATTCATTGTATAATAGTTAATTTATATAAATATCACTAATTTTAAAGTTTTTAAATTGATATTTATATCAACAATTTGATTTCTTTAGGGGTAAAATGTGTTTGATTTTTTAAATATACAGTATGAATTAAATAAAATCAGTCATTTAAAAATTCCCCCCTTCTTTTTATTTAAATTCTCATTTGTTATTACTAATTTTCTTCCTTATATCAATACCACACTGGTATATGATAGCATTGCTAGTTTATCAAATTCCAGCACTAAATTTTGAACTGTAAATAACACAGGTGGTGCTAGAGTCATTAAATAAAACATCTTACAAAATTTCAGGTTATGCAAATAAACAACATTTCAACAAGATCTTCATCCCAAAGTTTGACTTTCCAACTTCAAATGGTTGTGAGGAGGTAGCGTGCAACACATTTGATTGACAGGCAGTATGTTGCCTTGACAACAAACTAGATACATCCAGTCCAATCTGGCTGTTGTACCGTTTCTATTTAAGGAATGGTCTTTGTTACTAGATTTTTAAACAAATAAATATTCAGTAGTCAGCCTGTTATGTGAATAAATTTTGTCTTGTGAAGTCCTGGAAGGTGTTCACTTTCATAATTTGGCGGTAAGTTTGCTTAGACTTCGTTTTGGGACCACGTGTTTTGTACCAAATGTAGGTCACTCTTTTCCATGCAATCAGGAAGAGACGAGAAGACGTTTGTATTCAACAAAAATTTCTTTTTCAAGATTTTTGTTCTTAAGTTATAATAAAACATAATCTGTCCGTTGGACAGCCTACGTACCCTGCAAATTCACTTATCCAAACTGAATTTTTACCTGTGGAGCCCTGCTTTGGTATTATGGTGCACTTTATTTTACTGTCTGATACCTTCCTTTGTTCTTTTCTTACATGCTGGGGCATCACATTCATTATTAGCACCAAAATACTTACAGAGGGTAGACTGCGACAGGGGTAATCCTGACTGCGACTTAGGCGCAATCTTGTATAATCCATGTGCATCATGACGTCATTCAATTAAATTTTTTTTATGAGAAAGATAACGTACAATTGTAATTACAGATTATAGAAGAAGCAACACTTAAATTGTGTAATTAGACGAGATTGTGTGAACTTGAATGACCACACATCGTTCGTCACTTGTCTCGTAAACAAGCATTTAAATGCCGCGATATGATACTTTGTATCAGACGTTTCATAAAACGATGAAGGGTCTTTGCGCTAGGCATGCCGGGAAAACAGTGAATAAGCATGTACTTTCGTTTTTCGTTCATTGTTGATAGTGTTGATTTCCTGAAAGGTTAGCCTCATTGTTTCGGTTTTATTTCAACCAAATCTGCTTCATATGAACGTGCATATTGATATACAATTATTTTAGAGGCCAGAAAATGACCAGACCGACGGACTGGCAACTTTTGAAAAGAGACCGCCCGGGTGATAATTGAGCCGTCCCAGGCTGCCGGTCGATCCTTATTTCGTACCCTGATTATTATGTTTAAATTTGTGGAATCTTGTTTCACAAGCTTACTCTATTTTATTGTCTCTATGGAGGTATATGGGGACTTTACGACATTCGGCTTGAAGGCTTTAACCACTTGTTATAGTTTATTTTTGTATTGCTTTGGATTAATGTGGCAGTCTAAGGTTGTTCTAGGTGGTTTTCAAGTTTATGCACCCGTTTTTGAAATCATTTCGTGATATTATGACAATCGTTTACTATCCAATCAAGGTGACAGCCGAGCGTGACAACGTGCATACAGGTAACGAAGGAATGCGATCACATTATATAATATATGGCTGTGAATATAATACAAATATATAAATAACTCTGGAAAATCAGCACATATAATCAACATTTTAAGCAGGTATTTTCTGGAATGTACAAAATTAACTAGAGGATCAGAGAGGCAATACCGCCTCCGGATATTGTACCACCTGCTGGAGTAAGCGCATTCGTATGGACCCCCCCCCCCCCAATAAAAAGGGACACCACCACCAGTTTTGTGCTTAACAAGCTCTATAAAATACAATCAACAAGAGTTCTCAAAATATGCCAAAAAAAAAAAAAAAAAAAAAGGTACAATCAAGCAGATTTTCAATTTGACTTGCATTTTCCTACAATTGATCACTCCTGCGATTCTCTAGACAAAAGGCCTATTGGTTTTCCTTGAAATGTGTTGTCAGTGGTGCATATATGCTGACAAAAGAGAAAACCTAGGGGCAACAACAGACACATCTCTGCTAGTTTTGAAGATATGAGGGGCAAGAAAATATGCAAAGCTCAGTTCATGGTGAAAAAGTAGGTCAAAGGTCAATTTCAATATCATAGTATATGAATTTCTATTCAAGTTCAATAGTAACCATGGGCATTTCTTTGCCAATTTTGCAGATTTAAAGGCAAGAAAACAAGCAAAAAGCAGTTCATCATAAAAAAGTAGGTCAAAGATGAATTTCAAGGTCACAGATTGCCAGTGTATTACTTCCTATTCAAGTTCAATAGTAACTATGGACCTATCTCTGCCAGTTTTGGAGATAAAAGGGAAAGAAATTAGCAAAGTTCAGTTCATAGTGAAAAGTTGGTCAAAGGTCAATTTTGAGGTCACAGTAAATTGCCTGTAATGACTTTCTATTCAAATTCAGTAGTAACTGTGGACTTATCTTTGCCAGTTTTGGAGATAAAAGGGAACAAAAATTTGCAAAGTTCAGTTCATGATGAAAAGTAGGTCAAGGTCAATTTTGAGGTCACAGTAAATTGCCTGTAATGACTTTCTATTCAAATTCAAGAGTAACTGTGGGCTTATCTTTGCCAGTTTTGGAGATAAAAGGGAACAAAAATTTGCGAAGTTCAGTTCATGGTAAAAAGTAGGCCAAAGGTCAATTTTAAGGTAATAGTAAATTGCCAGTATATGAATTCCTATTCAAGTTCAATAGTAACTATGGACCTATCTCTGCCAGTTTTGGAGATAAAGGGGAACAAAAATTTGCAAAGTTCAATTCATGATGAAAAGTAGGTCAAAGGTCAATTTCAAGGTCACACTTAGATTGCCAGTATATGTAATAACTTCCTATTCAAGTTCAATAGTAACTATGGATCTATCTCTGTCAGTTTTGGAGATAAAAGGGAACAAATATTTGCAAAGTTCAGTTCATGGTGAAAAGTAGGTCAAAGGTCAATTTCAAGGTCACAGTTAAATTGCCAGTATGTGACTTCCTATTCAACTTTAATAGTAACTATGGACCTTTCTCTGCCAGTTTTGGAGATATAAGGGACTAAATGTTACAATTTTGGAGTTACAATAATGTGCCATAAATTTCCTACAGAAAAAATTAATTAAAATAAAGAAAAGGTCATTTTGGTTGAAATTCTTGAAATGGGAGGTGCTCAGAAGTTCCAGATGTTCAAATTTCATGAAATAATGTCATTTTTGACCAGAAATTGTCTGCCTCGCACAGCCTCATGTTTTATTTTCCTGGGGTTTAAAATTTATTATACATCACCATATTGCACATTTTGCTTTCACCACCAAAATGTACTTTTTGATATAGCATAACTCGAAAACCGTATGGAATACAAAAAAACGGAGACCACTGTCAGTGTTGGGGTTTACATGCTCTACAAAATGCAAAAAAGAATGGGTCTCTAGCATTAACGGTTCCCGAATAAGAGACAGTTTTCAGTTTCGGTATCTTATGGCCGCTACTCCCGTGAAAATGCACCGATTGACCCCAAATTCACGGAGATGAAAGATGACCCGAAGGGTAACACTTTCCAATAATATTATTAGTTAGGTCTGTGTAGTTTCTGAATATCAGTGGGTAATAAGATTAGTGCCATGTTGAAATTAAGATGCCCGTGTCCCAATGTTGATACCCAGCATTGTGGATGTGCAAATGCATATATTGTTGTGGCAAACTGCACACTTTCTGACTAAAGCCTTGGTTGTTTTGACAAACAGCACAATTACTGACTAGAGCCTTGTTTTTTGTGGCAATCTGCACACTTACTGACTAAAGCTTTGATTGTTGTGGCAAACTCCTCAATATGGTGTTCATCAGGGTTGCCTATGTTGACAGGCAGGGAATAGTTACTGTTCATTAAAGCCACCAGTCCATCCACCAGATCTGTAACATACTGGAATGACCGGGTCTGCTTGCCCTCTCCATATATCTACAACACAACACTTTCACAGTGATACATATGGGACAGTAACAGAAATACGATAATGGCATTTTCTTCTGGTAACACAAAAAGTATGAAATTATTTTAAGTTAAATACTTTTTTGAAATTAAAAACAAAGAAAAAAGGGGGCAATATAAACATAACAAAAGTCTAAAGATACTTGGTATGTCAGCACTTTGCATATTAAGCATACCACCTGGCAGATTATTGCATATATATATATATATATATATATATATATATATATATATATATATATATATATGTCAGGGTTGGAAACTCCTCTTAACATTCAACCAGACAACAGGACAGGTTACTCTTGAAAGTTACCCGTCCTACCACAAACCAGCCTGTCCTCATAAAATCGACAGAACTATGATAATAGAGAGCATGTATGACTAAATTTAATAATTCAAGACATTTTTGAATGTTGTTTTCTTTCAAACTTCATAAATAAAAGTCATAATACCAGTGCTGTCTTGATACCAAAGAATCAAATTTATTTTTATATTCAGTTATGGTCTGTCCCCCCACCCATACATCATGGATAAATAAATAAATAAATAAATAAATAAATAAATAAATAAATAAAAAATATATATATATGCACCTTACCTAATATCTATTAAAACAAAATTATAGCAAAACCGTTTGACAGAAACAAAATGCACAATACCGTAGTCAATACAGTCAGTACTGAAGAACAAGTATTTTACTTTAACTGAAGTATCTATACCACTGCAATTTTCATGAAAGGAGCATTAAAATTAAAAACTTAACTATCAAATCATTGGCATGGTGAGCAAGGAAAATAGCTTGCAAGGAAAATAATATCAGTTTGGTGAATAAAACTGGTGAATGTCAACTGCAAGTCACAGTGCCTGTCCTGGTATATGAAAACTTCACTTTACCAAAGATCAAGTCATTCTGTTTGAATTGTTTTACCTCTTCAAAATATTATTTGAAAACTCTGCATTTACTCATGAGAGATGATCATGAGAGATCATGAGAGATGATCATCATAGATGATGCTTTCAACTTGTTTCTCCATTGATTGTTGATCATCTTCATCTGGGAAAACCCACATTCACACTCTACTGTACCAGCAGGCAGTGACAGAACTAAATCAACTAAACCTAATACATTTGAGCACCGCTCTCCATACAGCTCATTGATTTTTGGTCCACGACATGACATGCACCTTGTATTTCATTTGCAATACAGTTAAAACAACATGAACTCTTACCAGTATTGATCTTAATAATATATAGCTCTGTTAACCTTAAATATGCAACCTACTTTTTATACAGTAAATTCTTTAAAACTATCCATTCTGGCTCAATATTTTACCTGACTTAAATGGGTTACAAATGCTTGGTAACATCGGTAATATGATAAAGAAGACAATGTGGCAAGCTAATGTAGCGTACATTGTCTTCTATGTCTTTAGAAACACTACGAAAGTTTCTTGACCTTCCTGAAAAAAATCATGAAAAGCGACCAGCGACGGAGGTCCGTAAAGACTACAACCAAAAAAAGAGGCAGCGGACGATTGTTCCAAGTTGGAAAGCAGAGTTTAGTTGGCTGATATGTAACGAAAACCGTCAAATGTTATATGAAAACCGTCAAATTTTATATTGCAACACGTGCCGTTCCGTTTACAGACCGCTTTCGTCAAGGAAGAACATTCCGGACAAATTTAACCGGTATAAAAATGGACCCTTCATTAAAGGATGCCAAAATATAAGGCATCGTGAATGTATGCTACATTAGCTCGCCACATTGTCTTCTTTATCATATTACCGATGTTACCTTGCATTTGATTGGCTTAATGCAGCGAATCTTCCCGCAACAAAAGTCGGAAGTTGTCATTTAATGACGTATCAGTGACCTATATTCCCATATTTGGAATGTTTTCGTGACTTATTGGTTTATTGCAGTGAAATTTCCCCGCGGTAAAAGTCGAAAGTACTCGATGTAATGACGTATCTCTGACCTATTTTCCCATATTCGGAATGCTCATGTGATTTATATTGTAAACACTTATATATTGGTAAATGTGTGAAAATCAAAATCAAGAAAGACGCAATGTTTCACTGACGACCTTAAAGTGCGGCCCGACCACAGGACGGTCTCCAAATTATTTTTACCCGTCCTTCATGAAATTAGACCATCAAGGATGTTGGGACGGGCAGTTATTTCCAACTCTGTATATGTAAATGGTGAGCAAACAAAAATAAAATGACAGTAATACATAAATTAACTCTTACAGTTATTGGCTGGTTCTGAAGTGCTTGTAATATAAAGTTGCTGACGACCCTCCCATCATTCATGTGCATACGTGGACCAAAGGTGTTGAATATCCTGGCAACTCGCACTTCCACTTGCTCCTGTAAAGAAAAAAAAATAATTAAAAAGCATAACTCAAAACTTGCAGCACAAGTATGATCTGTCATCGTCAGGAAGTGAGTTTCCAAATAATGATCTTGAATAATATCCTTTCCAAAGAATGTTACAGTATAGAACATGTACCTGCTTCTTGTAGGCAAAACACATGGTTTCTGCTACCCTCTTCCCTTCATCATAGCAGGCTCTGGGTCCTATAGGGTTGACATGGCCCCAGTAGTCCTCTGTCTGAGGGTGCACCTCTGGGTCTACAACATCACACAACTAGCACATTATTCACCTTTCGTTATTGTTTTAAACTAAAATAAAGTTAAATTAATTATACTGACAGAATTGTTGATCTACATGCTAGCTGACTTAGAATTTTAATCGTGCGGTCCTGTTTTACAACTGATTCATGTGTTTTCCATATGTTTATATTCCCATACCTCCATAGACTTCTGATGTGGAAGCCAGCAGCAGGCGGGCACGTACTCTCTTTGCCAAACCTAAATTATGCAGCAAATTACATAGTTAATAATCAAATATAAGTGCATACTTTCACATAAATGACTGCGTGTTTGTTTGTCTAAATAGGACCTTTTTCTTGACTCTTAGACCCCATTTCCATATATTTTAGATCGATCTATCCCTGTGGGGAATCTCACTAGAATACTGTCAGCATAGCTGGCTTAAGCATCTGTCCCGCCTACTGAAAGCTGTAAGGGGGTAATTAACTATGGTGCGTGCTCGGCTGACTGCAATTTAGTGTGAAACCCCAGGGAGTTAAGTTGATCTAAATCTTAATCTCTGGATTGATCTAAATCTCTGGGAATACACCCTTAGAATGCATTTAACTGAGTGCTTTTTTAAAGTTATTGCCTCCAAAACAATCCAAATACCAGCCTAAGGTAATGTGCCAAACAGTTCGACCAAGATTAATAAATCAATTTCAAAGAAACATCATTTTGGTAGAATATGATTAAAATACAGCAATAAAAACACTTAAAAAAGTCAGATTGTTTGGGCCATCTGCTGTATTGTTAATCTTATTGGAAGTATTGCATTTTACCCCAAGCGCCACCCAAGATAAGCCGCAATTTAGGTTTAACATTGTTTCAAACACATTTTATCATCTTTTTAAAATCTTATTTTGCTGCATACAATCTTTGCTAACATTACTTCATATTCAAAGAAATGACATGTCATGTCATTTATTTCCCCTATCTACAATCATTTTAATGACGCTCTTCATGATACATTAAATGAGTGCTAAGGGACAGGTGTTGTAAAAAGTGGCCACTCACATATTTTTAAAAACGGTAGCATAAGTGGACTCAAACCAGTTATATGATCATATGATTACTAGTATGCTGAATAACTGGCATAGTGTCTATGTATGCCCTATTTGAATTTGAATATGTCAACTGAAATCAACTGATTTTAGATATTTTTTAGCAGTCTAGGATCAGAAAAGGTTTTTAAGTCACAGGACCTGCTCAGTGTAGACGTATTTTCGAGGAAAATTCATCCCCCAATATCAAAGAATACCAACTGGTACTCAAACTGAATTCAGTGTCACCTTAAATTACTTAAATTATGCCATTTTAAAAATATTGATAAAAAGCAATCTACAGAGCCTTCCTCCCAACTAAGAGGGCATTCCCGGAGATTTAGATCAATCTTACTAGAAGTACGGAAGTTAATTACCCCCTTTCAGCTTGTAGGACATTTAAGCTGGATTATCTGACAGTAATCTAGTGAGACTCCCCATGGGGATACATCGATCTAAAATCTATGGGAATGCCCCCTAAGGCAAACGAATCAGTCAATTGAGGCAAGTCTACTAAATTAGCACAAACTGTATGTATAATGAACAAAAAAATATAAACGCATGAATGAATATGTCGATTTATTTTCATGTATCGTACTAGAGTATATAGCCAACAATAAACAGCATATTTTCCTCAACAAACAGACATCACTTTGAGAGCATTACGGGCAGTTTAAATGCATAGGCCAAGAGTTAGGGCGTCAACTACACCATGGGGGTCAACATCCTGAATTCACAGACACTAATTGCGAATATGGCCACCATTAGCTTTGGGCATAACAGTACACCAGTGGCACATGGTTATCACTAAGTGGTCAATACTGGCCTGAGGGATATTATCCCATTCCTCCTGGAGTGCTACTCGCAGCTGGCTAAAATTCTAGGGAGCAGAAACATGATGGTGTACACGCTGATCCAGAACATCCCACAGGTGTTCGATGGGCGACATATCAGGCAAATACGGCAGCCAGTTGAGGACACCAATATTCTCCTCCTCCAGGAAGTCCCTGCATATTCTTGCAATGTGTGGGCATTATCATGCTGAAAGGTAACGTAATGGAGCTCCAAAAATGGTGCAACAATAGGTCGCAATATTTCGTCTTGGTGTCTTTGGCCATTCAGGTTGCCAGCAAGAAAATGCAAACGTGTGCTGTCCATAGCAAATGCCAGCCCATACCATGACACTAGAGCTGCCATGAGCCACCCATCGAAGGACATTAGCCTCGGCAAAATGCTCACCAACACGGCGCCAAACATGGACTCTGCCATCAGCGTGGTACAGCTGGAACCGGGATTCGTCACAGAAGAGCACTGTCCTCCATCGTGAAAGTGTCCAGTGCATATGTTCTCAGACGGCTAACAGTGGAATGATGCACATTCAAGCATGCTGCAACATGCCGATGGCATGCTCCCCCATGATTTCAGACAACTGTGGCATGTTGACAAGTGACAGAAAATCAAATTTTGGTGTGCCTTTTTAATGCATTATTGCCTTGACTGTAGGGAGTGTCTGTGTATTGGTCATGCAGATTGACCACCACTCCTTCATGTTCTTATGGGTGGAAAAATTGAACCTTTGAGTATACTCAAGGGGAGCTGCCAAGTGAAACGAGACCACTATACTTGATCACAACAAATCCATCAATTCAGAAATAAAGCAACAACCTGAGCATATTTCATGATTATCCATTTCAACTCACCATTTTAGTTTCGTGCGTTTATATTTTTGTTCAGTGTATATAAGCATTATTATTCTCATTGGCCTCAAAAGAAATGACAGGAACATCTTGCTTCCAGAAATGATCTGGGGTTCAATTGTTTCTTCCTCATTGAAAGCACAACAAAGGGCTGAGGCATGTAGCATGTAGCATTTACTGGTTTCAAAATTAACATAGTCTTGCCTACGATATGGTCAAACAATTGGAACAAGAAAAAATACTGTTGCATGATTTTGACTTTTGTTCTAAATGTTTCAGCCCAGAAAAAAAATTAGAAAATAATTTTTCGGGTCAGAATAGATTGCACAGGTTGAACTGTTACAGCAAATAGGATAACAGGAGAAAGTAAGGGGGTTTGGGTAGGTCTACAGGAGTAAGGGGCTATGGACAGGTCTACAGGGGTAAGCAGGGGGCTGTGAGCAGGTCTACAGGAGTAAGCAACGGGCTGTGAGCAGGTGACAGGAGTAAGCAGGGGGTATGAGTAGGTCCTCATGGGGTTAGATCTGCTTTGTTTGTAGAGTTCCTTATGCATTGTCTGCTGACATAGCATGTACTAAGTTTAGCTATCATATCCATACAGGATGTAGAAACTGTCTGCTGACCTAGCATGCAACAAAGGACTGGAAATCTGATCTATGTCCACAAATAAAAGTTTACACTTTCTAGACATAGATCAAGCCAGTGGACCTTGATAAAACAAATTGAAAAAAGTATTTATTGATGCTACACCAGATTTCTTAGAGCTGTATAAAATAACAGTAGGATGCCCAACATGGAGCTCTATGGCAATATCCTAAAAGTCGCCTGTAAAATGAGAGCCCATGGATTGAGGGCTGCAGACCATTTTATTGTCATACAGAAGAAGTATCAAGTAGATTTCTGCTCTGGGTATCTAAATACATGGCTCATCAGGTACACAAAACAAAAATCATGTCCAACCTCTTCTTGAGGACACGGGTTAAAAGAACACAACCAAGCTTGCTTGTCTCATGGATGACAGCAGAGTTGGAAATCTTGTTAAGCTGGTGTTTAATTAATGATGTTGATGGCTGACTGGAGTCAATATGATGATGATACATCAAGTTAAGCTATCATACCCATACTGACCTAACATGTTGATAGTGCCTATGGTGTTGGTCTTGATGGTCTTTATGGGATTGTACATGTAGTTTGGCGGAGAAGCTGGTGATGCAAGGTGGTATATTTGGTCCACTGAAATTAGAAAAACTGTTAAGGCCACTAATAGTAAAAGGACCAAAGTCATAGAAACAAAGCCCTGGGCTTATAACTTTTTATAAAAAATTAAAACAAACTTCCCAAAAGGCCAATTAAAGACGGGGATTAAGTACAGTGTCCAACGGATGACGCTATAGCGCCAATTTTGGGGGGAAAATGCCGTTTTCAGAATTGGGATTTTCTCTATAACCAAGACAGCTATTCAAGTGATTCAAAAGGCCTCATAAAGCTGGGTGAAAGCACTTCAGCGGGGTACCAGGGAATTGTCTTATACTATTTACTTTTGATTTTATCATCTTTTATGTTAAATTACCCCATATTTCAATGGGTTATTCACTTCAAAAGACGATAACTTTCAAACAAACAATTTCCTCTTAAACCCCTGATATCATGCTGTAGTCCACATTCCCAACAACAATAGGTGCAACTTTTGTAACGATCGGTTGCTCAGATAGTGAGATATACTTGGCAGCGATTCACTTACCTCGTCAATATAGAAAGCTGTTAAAACAGCCAAAAACGTTCACAGGTTGGTTAACAGAGCTTATTAGTCAAATGCTTAGCTGGCAAATTTACCTGTTATCGGTAATACGATCAGGTGGAACCATTGCTCATTGTCATCTAAAAATATTTTGTTTGGGTGCTTTGAAAGGGCAGAAAATCGTGCTTTTGTTACATTTTCCGACCACTCGTTAGGCTTGTAAGCGTGCCGCCATTTTGATTGACAGCTCTGGAGAGGGCCCTAGCCTAGTGATGCCCAGTAGGGTGGCAAGGATATGTAGAAGGAAGCGCTAACAAAGGCGATTACATTTAACCGCAATTAAGAGGTGTGAAGTTGCATTTGAACGTTTCAATGGCTTTTCCTCGGCAAACGAGTAATTTTACCTGAGAGATTCCTTTTCTGTTATCGGCAAAGTGATCAGATAAAACTGTCTGTCGAGAGCAAGTGGTCGTCACTTGTGTTAATAAGAGTTTTTTGACGGGTAACGCTGCAGGATTATTTTGCACGGCACTTGGAAATCGTCAGATCAACGGAAAAATCCAGTGATTACTTCAGAGCAGTCTCTCTCAAAATGCCAGCTAACATAAAGGGGAGACGCTCAGCTGCACAAGATTCAGCGATAAAAGTGGCTGAGAGAAGGCTTTTGAATAAATATTTTATTTTTACACACATGACACTTAGACCCTATTTGCTTTTTACCTGCTAGTCTTGACTATTTTCGGGGTCTTTTTGTGACTTTCATTTTTGGATACATTTTGAACTCTTTCTTCCCGCTTGATCAGTGATTTTGAAATTGTTTTTCTCCAAATATCGCAAAATGCAAAGCCAATAACATGCGTTTTTATTTTTATTGTTTTAATCATGCTGTCAACCCTTGCTTGGATTTCTCTCGTTTGGCCATTCACATCACAATTTTTTGCGTGTCTCTCAAGCTCCATGATATCATATCTTGGAGAATAAAATTTTATTTTGTCAACATTAGATTTACCTTTTGCAAACGGCGACCAGCAATCATTTCCGGTTTCGTAACATGTCGCAGATACGCTCGCCGATATGTATCGCAAAAATTAAGAGCTAGGCTAAAAGTATCCTTTTTAGCGTTTTTTTAAATTTATTTATCGATTTTTCTTTCATTTGTCAATTAATTTAGGCGATTTGATTAACTCTTTCACCCATTTATTAGGTATACAGAAATCAGTTATCTGACTGAACAAATAGGGCCGGTTTTCCCCAACCGCCACGCATAGGCCCTACTCTCTTTCAAAATTTTCTTTCTTTCCTCTGGAAATGGACTTTTAACACGAACTTTTCTCTTAGTAGCGTACTAGCTAAACTTCTTCGCTGCTAAGCTGATGTAAGACTTATGACCTATTACCGCACACGTAATCGGCTTATAACTCATTAACTGTGCTCCGACCCCCTCATGGCAACGGCCCTTAGTAACAGAGGCGTGGCTTAGTTGTCAGCCTGACTGGGGCGCGTGCCGGTTGAAAAACTCATCAAAAGACACATTTTGC